GAAGGAACAAGAAAAAAAAATAAAGATGGTGACAGAAGAGCTTTATAAGTTGGAACAGCTACACAAACAAAAGCGAGGAACAGATGTATATCAGAAGATAATACTTAAAAGAGATGAGTTAAAAGATCTTATGGAACAAGAGTGGAGGAGGATATTTAATAGGGTCTCAAAGGAAAGATACCAACGGGGGGAATAAACCTGGAAAATACTTAATGAGAAGGTTAAAGAGTAAGAAATCCAAAAATTTTATAGAAAAAATTAGAGATGGACAGGGGCGTCCCTAGGTTTGGTGTCACCCGGTGCGATAACACTTGATGACACCCCCTCCATTGATCCCCGCAGAATGGATCGGATCTGCAAATTGAGCATAATGGATTGGACTCCTATCCAATATCCTTCCCAATCCGCAGATCCGATACATCCTGCAGGGATCGTCGGCATGCAACCTATACGGGGTGACACCGGATCCACTCCAGGAAAAGGTAAGTTGTAAAGCAAGCCGACGATCCCCGCAGGATGGATAGGATCTGCGGATTGGGGAGCATAATGGATCAGACTCCGATCCATTATGCTCAATCCATAGATCCGATCCATTCTGCGGGCATCCTCGGAGGGGGGGTGTCACCAAGTGTTATCGCACCGGGTGACACCAACCCTAGGGACGCCCCTGCCCATCTCTAATTTTTCATCCTGCAGGGATCGTCGACTTGCTTTACAACTTACCTTTTCATGGAGTGGGTCCGGTGTTACCCAATGCAGTAGGTGTCACCCCCCCACATCTGCCTAGGAATGCCACTGGAGATGGGAAAGGAGAAATATTGCATGCTAACTCTGATATTGCCAATAGGTTTCAAAAATAATATAGTGAACTTTATGATGTGAGCTGTGGTGATCAAAAGGGAAGAGGAAAAGAAAAAAATTAGGCAGAAATATTTAATTGAGGTGGGGTTGCCACGATTAGCGCAAGAAAACCTAGAGACTCTTGAGAGACCTATTACCCCGGAGGAAATTAACTTAGAGAACATGGTGGGAGGTAAAAGCCCAGGGCCGGATGGATACACAGTGGGATATTTAAAAAAAAATTTGAGATCTTCCCAAAATGTGTAGTTACATGAACGCACTGGGGGAGGAGTTGGAAATGAGGGAGGAGTCACTGCAAGCTCATATAACAATTATTCATGAAGAAGGGAAGGAGAGCTCACAATGTGCCAGTTATAGGCCTATATCATTACAAAATATAGACACTAAACCAGGGGTGGACATGGGGCCCCCGGGCAATAGGGGATCAGGGATGAGGGAGATGACTCCTTTAATGCTCGTATTCTTATCCCCTTCCCCTCCAGCCTGTCATATCGCAGGGTGTCTCTGATTGAGGTAAAGGGGTGCTCTGTCCTACATGAAGGCGGGTCTCTGCGTGCAGGCCGAATCTAATTTGTGATGTGTATGTCTCGTAGAGTAACAGGAAGGTGGTTGTGTCATGCTCAACTACAGAGGGCCAGAACGTGTTGAACTGTGCAGTGAACAGGCCTCTGCTGAGGGCCAACACCATGGTAAGAGGAGAATGCAGGAGAGACTGCAGCATGAGACCCAACACCATATTAACAGGAGACAGCTAGAGACTACTATAGACTGCTAAAGTGTATAAGAGTTCATGAGGCCCAACGCTGGGCAAGGAGGAGACCAAGACTGTTTAAAAGAGTAATAGTGCATGAGACCCAACGCCACATAAAGGTGACTACTAGAGACTGTTATAGAGTATAAGAGTGCATGGGACCCAACGTCAGGCTAAGAGGAGACTGAAAGAGTCTATTAGAGCCTGCAAGAGAGAATAAGAGTGCATGAGACCTAACGCTAGGCTGGGAGGAGACCAAGACTGCTTGAGAGAGTGAGCATGCATGAAATCCAACGCCACCGAAGAAGAGACTGCTAGAGACTACAAGAGACTGCTAAAGAATGTAAAAGTGCTCGAGACCCAAGACCAAGCTAAGAGTAGAGTGATAAAGACTATTCATTCCTGCTAGAGGGACTAGGAGTGCATGAGGCCCAATGTTGAAGACTATTAGAGTAAGATTGTATGAGACCTAGTGTTGGGCTAGGAGGAGACTGAGCCTGCTAGAGAGAGTAAGAATGCATGAGACCCAACGCCATTTAAAAGGAGACTGCTAGAGACTACTAGAGCCTGCTACAGAGAGAAGGAGTACATGAAACCCAATGCTGGGTTAGGAGGACACCCATACTGCTAGAGAGTGAGTACATGAGACCCATGACCAAGCTAAGAGTAGAGTGATAAAGACTATTAGTTCCTGCTATAGGGAGTATGAGTGCATGAGGCCAGGGGCAGACTGACAACTCATGGGGCCCCCGGTCAATAGGGGATCATGGGGCCCCTGTGTCCTTGCCCAAACTCAAAAAAGCCGATGAAAAAGGTACCAGGGGCATCTAATGGGGCCCCCTACTGTACTATATCTCCCTAATAAATGAAATTAAGGAAGAACTAAGGAGACTCTGAAAGGGAGGAGCCACTTGGACAGGACGTATAAAATCTGGTAAAGATGGTGATAATGCCAAAAATTCTGTACAAGTTCCACAAGCTCCCGGTCCACCTTCCACACAGGGGCGGACTGACAACTCATGGGGCCCCCGGGCAGTAGGGGATCATGGGGCCCCGGTGTCATTGCCCACACCCAAAAAAGCCTATGAAAAAGCCATTTAAAGGTACCAGGGGCATCTCATGGGGCCCCCTACTGACCCTGGGCCCTCGGGCAGTGCCGCCCCTGCTTCCACACCTTCCAGGGTCTTTTCTCAAGATAATAAAGAAGATGATTACTAAGTTTATATGGGCAGCTAAGAAACCGAGAATTAGTTACGAGGTCCTGAGGTGAGTAAAAGGGAACGGGAGTTTGGGATTCCCCAACGTAAGGAACTTCCACCATGATTTGATCACGAGTAGATTGGACATTTCATACAAGGGAAGGGTGGAGATGGAAGGGACTTCATGTAGAGGAGATTGTAGGGACACCACAAACGTTTCACACAAGGGAAGGGTGGAGATGGAAGGGACTTCATGTAGAGGAGATTGTAGGGACACCACAAACGTTTCACACAAGGGAAGGGTGGAGATGGAAGGGACTTCATGTAGAGGAGATTGTAGGGACACCACAAACGTTTCATACAAGGGAAGGGTGGAGATGGAAGGGACTTCATGTAGACACCACAAACGTTTCATACAAGGGAAGGGTGGAGATGGAGGGACTTCATGTAGAGGAGATTGTAGGGACACCACAAACGTTTCACACATTCGGATGGTAACACGAGTTCACTGAACTATCCGAATGTATAGTCAAAAAGGATGGAAATGTAAATCAATATTGACTCCCTTGGTGGGGACGGAGTATATTCCCCCCGCTGGGGAAGGATAATATTGGGGTAAATGGGGGGTAATACTGGGGTAATATTGGGGTAAATGGGGGGTAATATGGGGTAAATGGAATATGTAAACGTGATATATTTTTGCAAATGCGTTGTTGTTCTTTTTGTACTGGAAAATCAAATAAAAGTTGAAAAAAAAAGAGGGTTGAGTGCTGGAAAATAATGGCGGCCACACAAAGTATTGACACTTTGGGCCCAGTTTGGACCTCATCATTTAGGGGTGGAGTCACTGGTGTTGCCAGAGGTTTAGACATTAATGGCGGAGTGTTGAGTTATTTTGAGGGGACAGCAAATTTCCATGTTATACAAACTGTACACTGACTACGTCACATTGTAGCAAAGTGTCATTTCTTCAGTGTTGTCACATGGAAAGAGAGAATCAAATATTGACACAAATGTGAGGGGGGGACTAGCACTGTATACAGTCCGGGGGAGGGGTGGTGTATATATATACAGTATATAGGTGGTATATATATAGGTGGGGGGAGGGGGGTGGTGTATATATATATACAGTATATAGGTGGTATATATATAGGTGGGGGAGGGGTGGTGTTTATATGTACAGTATATAGGTGGTATATATTAGGTGGGGGAGGGGTGGTGTTTATATGTACAGTATATAGGTGGTATATATATATATATAGGTGGGGGAGGGGTGGTGTATATATGTACAGTATATAGGTGGTATATATATATATATATACACAGGTGGGGGAGGGGTGGTGTATGTATATATACAGTATATAGGTGGTATATACATATAGGTGGGGGAGGGGTGGTGTATATATATACAGTATATAGGTGGTATATATATATAGGTGGGGGGAGGGGTGGTGTATGTATATACAGTATATAGGTGGTATATATATATAGGTGGGGGGAGGGGTGGTGTATATATATATACAGTATATAGGTGGTATATATATATAGGTGGGGGGAGGGGTGGTGTATGTATATATACAGTATATAGTGGTATATATATATAGGTGGGGGGAGGGGTGGTGTATATATATATACAGTATATAGGTGGTATATATATATATAGGTGTGGGGGAGGGGTGGTGTATGTATATATACAGTATATAGGTGGTATATATATATAGGTGGGGGAGGGGGTGGTGTATGTATATATACAGTATATAGGTGGTATATATATATAGGTGGGGGGAGGGGTGGTGTATGTATATATACAGTATATAGGTGGTATATATATATATAGGTGGGGGGAGGGGTGGACTCACTTCTGGGAGATACTGTGTATATATTCATTTTTATTTCATTTTTATATATATGTGTAAATCTGTTTTTTAGAACCAGCTGGATGTTTGCAGTCCTCAATAATCAATAGATGGCCTCTTTGGCTGCCTGACTCTGAGGTTCCATTCCTATAGAGGTCAGTAGGGGAAGTCGCAGGGTGCAGATAAAGGAAAGCCGTGGTGCTGATTGCGGTGGTGATACACCCAGCAGGGGGTTTTGCAGAAGTTGTCCAGGTTGCAGTCATTGGTGCACGCCCGCTGGGAATTGTGAAAGACATCATAGGACTGTGTGCAGACTATCGCTGATTCTGACGCTCTGCAGAGCTGGGTGGACTGGGATGGATAGGCTCCTGCACTGCATGCTGCTCTGCCAAGGTAAGTGACAGCAGATGAGGGTCCTCTGACCACTGTGCAGGATGGGGGTCAGTGGGGTCAGAAGGGGGGAAGGAGAGAGTTGCTCTGGGTTGTGGCATACCATCCCCTTCCTGCATGGAGACTTGTGGATGATGATGATTATATCTGTACCCTTGTTGGCTGCCATTTCCAGCTCATTGAACCCATGGGGGGAGGGGGGGGGGGGGGGTATGGTGATGACTGATGAGGAGGAGGGGCGTTGGGGTTATCCGGGTTTATGTATTATAGTGATGATTGTTGATGAGCAAGGGGCAGTGGGGGGGGGGGGTATGTATTACATTCATGATCAGGAGCGGACTGACAACTTATGGGGCCCCCGGGCAATAGGGGATCATGGGGCCCCTGTGTCCTTGCCCACACTCAAAAAAGCCTATAAAAAGGTACCAGGGGCATCTCATGGGGCCCCCTACTGACCCTGGGCCCTCGGGCAGTACCCGAGTGCTCAAATGGTCACTTTACATCCTGATACTGGAAATAATAACAGAAACGCTCCATCACTGCAATAAAAACCTTCATCTCCTCCAATCTTCTCCATCTCCTCCAGTGGCCTTCATCTCCTCCAATCTTCTCCATCTCCTATAGTGGCTTCATCTCCTCCAATCTTCTCCATCTCCTCCAGTGGCCTTCATCTCCTCCAATCTTTTCCATCTCCTCAAGTGGCCTTCATCTCCTCCAATCTTCTCCATCTCCTCCAATCCTTCTCTCCTCCATCTTCTCCATCCTCCGGTCCAGTTTCATCTCCTCCAATCTTCTCCATCTCCTCCAGTGGCCTTCATCTCCTCCAATCTTCTCCATCTCCTTCAGTGGCCTTCATCTCCTCAATCTTCTCCATCTCCTCTAGTGGCCTTCATCTCCTCCAATCTTCTCCATCTCCTCCAGTGGCCTTCATCTCCTCCAATCTTCTCCATCTCTCCTTCAGTGGCCTTCATCTCCTCCAATCTTCTCCATCTCCTCCAGTGGCCTTTATCTCCTCCAATCTTCTCCATCTCCTCCAGTGGCCCCCATCTCCACTAATCTCTTCCATCACCTCCAATGTCTTTCATATCCTCCACCACCTCCCTTCTCCTCCATCACCTCTCATCTCTTCCATCACCTCTCATCTCTTCCATCACCTCTCATCTCCCTCCACAACCTCCCATCATCTCTATCACCTCTCATCTCCTCCACCACCTCCCATCATCTCTATCACCTCTCATCTCCTCCACAACCTCCCATCATCTCTATCATCTCTCATCTCCTCCATCACCTCCTGTCTGCTCCATCAACTCCCGTCTGCTCCATCACCTCCCATCTCCTTCATCAACTCTCATCTCTCCATCACCATCCCATCTCCTTCATGACTTGCCATCTCCTTTATCACCTCCCATCTGCTCTATCACCTCTCATCTACTCCATCACCTCTCATCTGCTTCATCCTCTCTCATCTCCTCCATCATCTCCCATCTCCTCCCTCACCTCTCATCTCCTCCATGACCTCTCATCTCCTCCATGACCTACCATCTTCCCCCATCACCTCCAATTTTTCTCCATGACCTTTAATCTGCTCCATCATCTTTCATCTCCTCCATCACCTCTCATCTCCTTGATCACCATCTCTTCATCCTCTCTCCTTTGATCACCTCTCATCTGCTCCATCACCTCCCATCTCCTCCATCCTCTCTCATCTCCTCCATCCTCTCCCATCTCCTCCATGACCTCCCCTCATCTCCTCCATCCTCTCTCATCTCCCTCCATCCTCTCTCATCTCCTCCATGACCTCTCATCTCCTCCATGACCTCCCATCTCTTCCATCCTCTCGCATCTCCCTCCATCACCTCTGATCTCCTCCATCACCTCCCCATCTCCTCCATCACGTCCCATCTCCTTCATCACCTCTCATCTCCTCCATCCTCTCCCATTTGCTCCATCACCTCCCATCTGCTCCATCAGCTTCTATCACCTCCCTTCTCCTCCATCATCTCTCATCTGCTCCATCACCTTCCATCTCCTTCATTCACCTCCCAGCTCCTTCATCACCTCTCATCTCCTCCCTTCTCATCCATCACCTCCCATCTCCACCATCCTCTCCCATCTGCTCCATCACCTCCCTTCTCCTCCATCATCTCTCATCTTCTCCATCTCCTCCATCACCTCCCATCATCTCTATCATCTCATCTCCTCCACCACCACCTCCCATCATCTCTATCATCTCTCATTTCCTCCATCATTTCTCATCTCCTCCATCACCTCCTGTCTCCTCAATCACCTCTCTCATCCTCCTCCTCCATCACCTCTCATCTCCTCCATCCTCATCCTCCATCTCTTCTCTCCCCCCTCACCTCTCATCTCCTCCATCCTCTCTCATCATCCCTCCATGACCTCCCATCCCATCTTCCTCATCACCTCCCCATTTCATCCATGATCTTTAATCTCCTCCATCATCTTTCATGTCCTCCATCACCTCTCATCTCCTTGACCACCTCTCATCTGCTCCATCACCCTCCCATCTCCCTCCATCCTCTCTCATCTCCTCCATCCTTTCTCATCTCCTTCATGACCTCTCATCTCCTCCATGACCTCCCATCTCCTCCATCCTCTCGCATCTCCTCCATCACCTCTGATTTCCTCCATCACCTCCCATCTCCTTCATCACCTCTCATCTCCTCCATCCTCTCCCATTTGCCCCATTTGCTCCATCACCTCCCATCTGCTCCATCAGCTTCTATCACCTCCCTTCTCCTCCATCATCTCTCATCTGCTCCATCACCTCCCATCTCCTTCATCACCTCCCATCCCTTCATCACCTCTCATCTCCTCCCTTCTCCTCTATCTCCTCCATCACCTCCCATCTCCTCCATCCTCCTCCCATCTGCTCCATCACCTCCCTTCTCCTCCATCATCTCTCATCTTTTCCATCTCTCATCATTCTCCATACCTCTCATCTCCTCCATCACCTCCCCTCATCTCTATCATCTCATCTTCTCCACCAACTCCCATCATCTCTATCATCTCTCATTTCCTCCATCATTTCTCATCTCCTCCATCACCTCCGGCCTCCTCCATCATCTCCTGTCTCTTCCCTCACCTCTCATCTCCTCCATCCTGTCATCTCATCCATCCTCCTCTCTCATCCATCATCCATCCTCTCTCCTCTCCTCCATCCTCTCTCTCCCCCCATCCCTCTTATCTCCTCCATGATCTCCCATCTTCCCCATCACCTCCCATTTCCTCCATGATCTTTCATCTCCTCCATAATCTTCCATCTCCTCCATCACCTCCCCATTCTCCTTGATCACCTCTCATCTGCTCCATCACCTCTCATCTACTCCATCACCTCCCATCTCCTTGATCACTGCCCATCTCCTTCATCCTCTCATCCATCTCATCCTTCACTTCTCATCTCCTCCATCGCTCTCATCTCCTCCATCCTCTCTCATCTCCTCCATCCACCTCTGATCTCCTCCATCACCTCCCATCTCCTCCATCACCTCCCATCTTCTTCATCACCTCTCATCTCCTCCATCCTGTCCCATCTGCTCCATCAGCTTCTATCACCTCCCTTCTCCTCCATCACCTCCCATCTCCTCCATCATCTCTTATCTCTCCATTCTCTCCCATCTCCTCCATTCTCTCCCATCTCTTCCATTCTCTCCCATCTGCTCCATCGCCTCCCTTCTCCTCCATTGCCTCTCATCTCCTCCATCATCTCGCATCTCCTCCATCATCTTCCTTCTCTTCCATCCTCCCATCAGTGGAGAGGATATTTTGGGTTGTCCATTCCTCACTGCTCTTCTATGTTCTCATTATTGCAGCTCTTTCCTCCTCGGGCGCCATCTTTGTGGACACGAATCGTCCAATCGTCTTCCAGAATGAGGATCCCAGCTTTGGCCATCAGGTGGTGCAGATGGATAAATGGTGAGAAGGTGACAGGTCCTCATTGGGGGGAATAATCTGTGTATGGAGGGGGGGGGTCAGGGGGGAGGGGGAGGGTCAGTGGGGGAGGGGGGAGGGACAAGTCTCTGTAGATTTGGATCAGTGTAATAATCTGATGATAATCTCCAGATCATTATCAGAGGCGTGTCTTGTCATTGCAGGGTGATCGTCAGCGCTCCGCTCCGCCCACAATCCCAGAACAAGACCGGCCAATTATATCGCTGCAACCCCAAGACGGCCACCTGCAACCCCATGTCCATCCCCGGTAACATGGGATCCTGAAAACCGATACATTGTATATAACAGAGCGGTGATTTCCACTCTGTATATCTGGAGGGCGGTGATGTCACTCCATATATCTTATATCCAGAGGGCGGTGATGTCACTCCTGTATAAATATCTTATATCCGGAGGGCTGTGATGTCACTCTGTATAATATATATCTTATATCCGGAGGGCTGTGATGTCACTCTGTATAATATATCTTATATCTGGAGGGCTGTGATGTCACTCTGTATAATATATCTTATATCTGGAGGGTGGTGATGTCACTCTGTATAATATATCTTATATCTGGAGGGGGTGATGTCACTCCTGTATAATATATCTTATATCCGGAGGGCTGTGATGTCACTCTGTATAATATATCTTATATCCTCGGAGGGCGGTGATGTCACTCTGTATAATATATCTTATATCTGGAGGGTGGTGATGTCACTCTGTATAATATATCTTATATCTGGGGGGCGGTGATGTCACTCTGTATAATATATATCTTATATCTGGAGGGCGGTGTGATGTCACTCTGTATAATATATCTTATATCTGGAGGGCGGTGATGTCACTCTGTATAATATATCTTATATCTGGAGAGCGCGGTGATGTCACTCTCTGTATAATATATCTTATATCTGGAGGGCGGTGATGTCACTCCTGTATAATATATCTTATATCTGGAGGGCGGTGATGTCACTCCTGTATAATATATCTTATATCTGGAGGGCGGTGATGTCACTCTGTATAATATATATCTTATATCTGGAGGGCGGTGATGTCACTCTGTATAATATATCTTATATCTGGAGGGCGGTGATGTCACTCCTGTATAATATATCTTATATCTGGGAGGGCGGTGATGTCACTCCTGTATAATATATCTTCTATCTGGAGGGCGGTGATGTCACTCTGTATAATATATCTTATATCCGGAGGGCGGTGATGTCACTCCTGTATAATATATCTTATATCTGGAGGGCGGTGATGTCACTCTGTATAATATATCTTATATCTGGAGGCGGTGATGTCACTCCCTGTATAATATATCTTATATCTGGAGGGCGGTGATGTCACTCTGTATAATATATCTTATATCTGGAGAGCGGTGATGTCACTCTGTATAATATATCTTATATCTGGAGGGCGGTGATGTCACTCTGTATAATATATCTTATATCCGGAGGGCGGTGATGTCACTCTGTATAATATATCTTATATCTGGAGGGCGGTGATGTCACTCCTGTATAATATATCTTATATCTGGAGGGCGGTGATGTCACTCCTGTATTATATCTTATATCTGAGGGCGGTGATGTCACTCCTGTATAATATATCTTATATCTGGAGGGCGGTGATGTCACTCTGTATAATATATCTTATATCTGGAGAGCGGTGTGATGTCACTCTGTATAATATATCTTATATCTGGAGGGCGGTGATGTCACTCCCGTATAATATATCTTATATCTGGAGAGGCGGTGATGTCACTCTGTATAATAATCTCTTATCTCTGGAGGGCGGTGATGTCACTCTGTATAATATATCTTATATCTGGAGGGCGGTGATGTCACTCTGTATAATATATCTTATATCTGGAGAGCGGTGATGTCACTCTGTATAATATATCTTATATCTGGAGGGCGGTGATGTCACTCTGTATAATATCTTATATCTGGAGGGCGGTGATGTCACTCTGTATAATATATCTTATATCCGGAGGGCGGTGATGTCACTCTGTATAATATATCTTATATCTGGAGGGCGTGATGTCACTCTGTATAATATATCTTATATCTGGAGGGCGTGATGTCACTCCTGTATAATATATCTTATATCTGGAGAGCGGTGATGTCACTCTGTATAATATATCTTATATCTGGGGGGTGTGGTGATGTCACTCTGTATAATATATCTTATATCTGGAGGGCGTGATATATCTGATATCTGATGTCACTCCTGTATAATATATCTTATATCTGGAGGGGCGTGATGTCACTCTGTATAATATATCTTATATCTGGAGAGCGGTGATGTCACTCTGTATAATATATCTTATATCTGGAGGGCGGTGATGTCACTCTGTATAATATATCTTATATCCGGAGGGGTGGTGATGTCACTCTGTATATAATATACTTATATCTGGAGGGCGGCGAGTGATGTCACTCTGTATAAATATATCTTATATCTGGAGGGCGGTGATGTCACTCTGTATAATATATCTTATATATCGGAGGGCGGTGATGTCACTCTGTATAATATATCTTATATATCTGGAGGGCGGTGATGTCACTCTGTATAATATATCTTATATCTGGAGGGCGGTGATGTCACTCCTGTATAATATATCTTATATCTGGGAGAGCGGTGATGTCACTCTGTATAATATATCTTATATCTGGAGGGCGGTGATGTCACTCCCTGTATAATATATCTTATATCTGGAGGGCGGTGATGTCACTCCTGTATAATATATCTTATATCTGGAGGGCGGTGATGTCACTCTGTATAATATATCTTATATCTGGAGAGCGGTGATGTCACTCCTGTATAATATATCTTATATCTGGAGGGCGGTGATGTCACTCTGTATAATATATCTTCCATATCTCCGGAGAGCGGTGATGTCACTCCTGTATAATATATCTTATATCTGGAGGGCGGTGATGTCACTCTGTATAATATCTTATATCTGGAGGGCGGTGATGTCACTCTGTATAATATATCTTATATCTGGAGGGCGGGTGATGTCACTCTGTATAAATATATCTTATATCTCGAGAGGGTGGTGATGTCACTCCTGTATAATATATCTTATATCTGGAGGGCGGTGATGTCACTCTGTATAATAAATATTATATCTGGAGGGCGGTGATGTCACTCTGTATAATATATCTTTATATCTGGAGGGCGGTGATGTCACTCTGTATAATATATCTTATATCTGGAGGGCGGTGATGTCACTCTGTATAATATATCTTATATCCGGAGAGCGGTTGATGTCACTCTGTATAATATATCTTATATCTGGAGAGCGGTGATGTCACTCTGTATAATATATCTTCTTATATCCGGAGGGCGGTGATGTCACTCCGTATAATATATCTTATATCTGGAGGGCGGTGATGTCACCCTGTATAATATATCTTATATCTGGAGGGCGGTGATGTCACTCTGTATAATATATCTTTATATCTGGAGGGCGGTGATGTCACCCTGTATAATAAATATCTTATATCTGGAGGGCGGTGATGTCACTCTGTATAATATATCTTATATCTGGAGGGCGGTGATGTCACCCTGTATAATATATCTTATATCTGGAGGGCGGTGATGTCACTCTGTATAATCTTATATCTGGAGGGCGGTGATGTCACTCTGTATATCTTAATTCTGGAGGGCGGTGATGTCACTCTGTATAATATATCTTATATCTGGAGGGCGGTGATGTCACTCCTGTATAATATATCTTATATCCGGTGGGCGGTGATGTCACTCTGTATAATATATCTTATATCTGGAGGGCGGGTGATGTCACTCTGTATAATATATCTTATATCTGGAGGGCGTGATGTCACTCTGTATAATATATCTTATATCTGGAGGGCGGTGATGTCACTCTGTATAATATATCTTATATCTGGAGGGCGGGTGATGTCACTCTGTATAATATATCTTATATCTGGAGGGCGGTGATGTCACTCTGTATAATATATCTTATATCTGGAGGGCGGTGATGATGAGTCATCAGTGCAGAGTGTTATATATGTTCTGTATTTCAGGTTCCTCTGATGATATAAATTTTCCTCTCGGATTGGCTCTGGCTGTACAGGAGAATCCAACTCAGCTTCTGCGTAAGTGGTCCTTCTCTGGCAGATACATGTCATCCTCCAAGTCTCCCTCTCAGGTGTGTGTTTCATCCTCCATGTGTCCCTCTCAGGGTATTTGTCATCCTCCATGTATCCTTCTCAGGGTGTGTGTCATCCTCCATGTGTCCCTCTCAGGTGTGTGTCATCCTTCATTGTCCCTTCTCATGTGTCCCTCTCAGTGTGTGTCATCCTCCATGTGTCCCTCTCAGGTGTGTGTCATCCTTCATGTGTCCCTCTCAGGGTGTGTGTCATCCTTCATGTGTCCCTCTTGGGGTATGTCATCCTCCATGTGTCCCTCTCAGGGTGTGTGTCATCCTCCATGTGTCTCCCTCAGGGTGTGTGTCATCCTCCATGTGTCTCCCTCAGAGTGTGTGGGGCCGACCCTACAGAGGACATGCGGTGGGAACATCTATGTGAACGGGCGATGTTATTATATAACTGGAGAGCCGCCAGAGATGAGACCCCTACCCAGATCTCTGCCAGGTAACACCGACCCGGCCACCACAGCCATGTCCTCCACACTGCCAGGCAACACCGACCCGGCCACCACAGCCATGTCCTCCACACTGCCCAGGTAACACCGACCCGGCCACCACAGCCATGTCCTCCACACTGCCAGGCAACACTGACCCGGCCACCACAGCCATGTCCTCCACACTGCCAGGTAACACCGACCCGGCCACCACACAGCCATGTCCTCCACACTGCCGGGTAACACCGACCCGGCCACCACAGCCATGTCCTCCACACTGCCAGGCAACACCGACCCGGCCACCACAGCCATGTCCTCCACACTGCCAGGTAACACCGACCCGGCCACCACAGCCATGTCCTCCACACTGCCAGGGTAACACCGACCCGGCCACCACAGCCATGTCCTCCACACTGCCGGGTAACACCGACCCGGCCACCACAGCCATGTCCTCCACACTGCCGGGTAACACCGACCCGGCCACCACAGCCATGTCCTCCACACTGCCAGGTAACACCGACCCGGCCACCACAGCCATGTCCTCCACACTGCCAGGTAACACCGACCCGGCCACCACAGCCATGTCCTCCACACTGCCAGGTAACACCGACCCGGCCACCACAGCCATGTCCTCCACACTGCCAGGTAACACCGACCCGGCCACCACAGCCATGTCCTCCACACTGCCAGGTAACACCGACCCGGCAACCACAGCCATGTCCTCCACACTGCCAGGTAACACCAACCCGGCCACCACAGCCATGTCCCCCACACTGCCAGGTGCTGGGAAGTCTCATATGAGCACAGGGAACTCTCACTGTCCCTGCTCCACCCAGAACTGGAAGTGATCTTCGTTCCGGTGTCTCGGCAGAGTGCAATGTGAGAGGATTGGACATCGTCTTCCTCATCGATGGATCGGGGAGTATTGTGCCGAATGACTTCACTTTGATGCTGAACTTTGTCACCAGAGTAATGGAAGAGTTCAGGGACACCAATACACAGGTGAGGTGTACCGTTCCTCCTCCCTCCCCCTCTCCTCTATATCCCCCTCAATATGTCTCCCCCCCTCTCCACTATATCTCCCCTGCCAGATCTTCCCCCTCCTTCTATATTCCCCCACCAGCCAGATCATCCCCCTCTCCTCAATTTTCCCCCAATCCAGATCATCCCCCTCTCCTCTACTATATCCCCCCCCCCAGCCAGATCTTCCCCCTCTCCTCTAAATCCCCCTCAATATGTCTCCCCCCTCCCCACTATATCTCCCCTGCCAGATCTTCCCCCCACTCCTCTATATCCCCCCAGCCAGATCTTTCCCTCTCCCTATATACACCCCCCCCCCCCCCAGTCAGATCTTCTCCCCTCTCCTCTATTTATCCTCCATTCCAGGTCTTCCCTCTCTCTTCCTCTAATTCCTCCATTTCAGGTCTTCCCCCTTTCCTCTATATCCCCCCTGCCAGGACTTCCCCCCTCTCCTCTAAATCCCCCCTGCCAGGTCTTCCCCCTCTCCGCTATATCTCCCCTGCCAGGTCTTCCCCCTCTCCTCTATATCCCCCCTTCCAGGTCTCCCCCCTCTCCTCTAAATCCCCCCTTCCAGGTCTTCCCCCCTCTCCTCTATATCCCCTTCATATATGTCTCCCCCTCCACTATATCCCCCATAACCAGATCCTTCCCCTCTCCTCTATATCCCTCATGCCAAGTCTTCCCCCTCTCCTCTAAATCCCCCCTGCCAGATCTTCCCCCCTCCTCTATATTCCCCCCAGCCAGATCTTCCCCCTCTCCTCAATATCCCCCAATCCAGGTCTTTCCCCTCTTCTATATCCCCCTGTCAGATCTTCCCCACCTCCTCTATATCCCCCTCAGCCCAGATCTTCCCCCTCTCCTCTATATCCCCAAATCCAGGTCTTCCCCCTCTCCTCTATATCCCCAAATCCAGGTCTTCCCCCTGTCCTCTATATCCTCCCTTCCAGGTCTTCCCCTCTCCACTGTATCCCCCCTGCCAGGTCTTCCCCCTCTTCTCTATATCCCTCCTGCCAGGACTTCCCCCTCTCCTCTAAAATCCCTCCTTCCAGATCTTCCCCCCTCTCCTCTATATCTCCCAATCCAGGTCTTCCCCCTCTCTCTATATCCCCCCCTGCCTGGGCTTCCCCCTCTCCTCTAAATCCCCCCTGCCAGGTCTTCCCCCCCCCCCTCTAAATCCCCCCTTCCAGGTCTTCCCCTCTCCTCTATATCCCCCCTACCAGATCCTTCCCCTCTCCTCTATATCCCTCATGCCAGGTCTTCCCCTCTCCTCTACAACCCACTTGCCAGGTCCTCCCCCCTCTCCTCTATATCCCCCCTGCCAGGTCCTTCCCCTCTCCCTCTACAACCCACTTGCCAGGTCTTCCCCTCTCCTCTATATCCCCCCTGCCAGGTCCTTCCCCCCTCTCCTCTATATCCCCCCTGCCAGGTCCTTCCCCTCTCCTCTATATCCCCGCTGCCAGTTTCCTTCCCCTCTCCTCTATATCCCCCCTGCCAGGTCTTCCCCCTCTCCTCTCTATATCCCCCCTGCCAGGTCCTTCCCCTCTCCTCTATATCCCCCCCCTGCCAGGTCTTTTCCCCCTCTCCTCTATATCCCCCCTGCCAAGTCCTTCCCCTCTCCTCTATATCCCCCCTGCCAGGTCCTTCCCTTCTCCTCTATATCCCCCCTGCCAGGTCCTTCCCCTCTCCTCTATATCCCCCCCCCCAGCTAGGTCCTGCTCTCCTCTATATTGCACCATACCAGGTCTCTCCCCCCGTATGCCCCACTACATCTCATATTCTCCCCCACCATTAACCCTTTCCTCTCTTTCTCCGCAGTTCGCCCTCATGCAGTATTCCCATAGATTCCGGATGCATTTTGATTTCACCCAATTTTTCAAAATCAAGAGATCCGGCACAGCTGACCAAGACCATTGACCAGCAGAAAGGGGGGACGCATACTTCCACCGCCATCCTGCTGGTGATGTACGCTCCCAGATCTTCTCCCCCCCCTCCATGAATAAGTCTTCTCCTCCATATTGACAGTGAGGAGTGGCAGGACTGGTTCTCGGCCTCCAGATTCTCGGTGCCGGGGTGGAGTGACATCACTGGGGTGTATTTGTTAGTGCCGATCGCTCCACGGTGCACCCAGAAATGACACACATATCTGGGAAGTGTGTCCACATTTGTATGTATGACTGGTCCTCTGTCATATGACATTGGGCCCCTCTGGTAGCCCGTCAGACGGGGGAATGGTCACCAGGTTCTGAAAGCCACCATATAACACAGGCACAGACCATCCAGACCACAATCCTGGCACATGGGGCAAATGCCTGAGACACACCCACACTTTAATCATTCTGCATTCATCTTTCAGGCCAGCTGGTGGAGCTGGAGGCTCCTTGTTGTATTTTCTAGGCTCCTTATTTTGCTTTTTTGTTGTAAAATGTGAATGAGTTACAGTAGTCACTCCACCCCTTTTCTGAGCAGTGACCCCTCCCCCTCTAGAGCAGGGAGCGCTCCCATATCATTGTGATGTTTCAGTTGGACAGAAGCTTCCCCTGTGCTGTCGCTGTAGCTAACCCCTAGTGCTCCGGGAATCCCATGTTCTGTATTAAATGCTCCTTGTAGAGTGTGGTGACCTGGGAAAGCCGCACCTGACTCTCTATGTCTGCTGTGTTCTGATTGGCAGGCAGCAGCTCTTTGTGCCAGAGAGAGGTGCCCGAGACAACGCCGAGAAGGTTCTCATCGTCATAACGGATGGGGAAAGCATCCGCGATAGCACGCCTTTCTCGAGGTCCATCGCAGAAGCTGACAGACTCGGGGTTCGCCGCTTCGTCATCGGGGTAACTGAGACGCTGATGGTCTTTAACCATTTGATGACCAGAGGTCACTGATGCCTAGATGACAGGAACCACTTCTATATTTTATATTGACAATTTATTTGGTGCACGGTTTTAATATAAAAGGCTCGTTTTATTTATTTTGGGCTGACAAAAAATTATTTTGATTGAGGTATTATATATATATATATATTTTTTTTTTTTTTTAATACTCTAAATGTATCTACCTTTTGCAGGATTTAACAGATAAACACTAATATTTTTTTTTTATTACCGTAAATGTATCTGACAACTACAAGACTTAAAAGATAAACCCTACAATTTTTTTTATAAATACTGTAAACGTATCTGACAATTACACTACCGATTTTTATTTTTTTTTTTAATACTGTAATTGTATTTGACAATTGCAAAATTTAACAGATATACACCACCACCTACAGGCTGCAGCGCCAATTGCAGGCTTTAGTCCTATTTTGTCGGTGAAGTCTTCCGTCTACATGTGTATATTATGTCATAGCAGCTGTCTAGTCATCACATGACCAGGAACTACTCTGATTGGTTCCTGATCTCCAGTGCAGACGAGGTTTAGAAGCCAGCATCTGCACAGATGATGATGTTTCTCAAAGGACAGATGCTAATTAATGTATCCCCGGCACAGGGCGTCATGCTGGGGAATGTTAACATACAGGGCAGGAAGGGGTATATGAAAGAATGAAAGTCATGCCGATCCCATGGCTTCAGAACTTTCCTAGTCACTGATCGCTTATTTGTATAAAGTTGGTCATCTGACCTGCTCCAGCCTGACCATCCTCTCATTGGTCTACAGGTGGGAGAGGCTTTTACTGTCCCCAGTGCCTACCAGGAGCTGGTGACCATCGCCTCCCCGAAGCCTGAAGATCACCTCCTTCAGGTCAGTGACTTCTCCATCCTTCAAAATTTCCAGAGGACGCTTCAGGAGAAAATCTTCGCCATCGAAGGTAACAGACGGAGCAGGAATGAATGGAAGCAGGTTAAAAGAGAACCCCAGACACATGTGCCATGAGTGCCCTGTAGGCCAAAAATACAGCCTGGCCTGGCACTTCCAGAAGATCCAGATCAGAGCTTCAGCTTAATCACATACCCCTCCTCTCCAGCACTCTCTTCATTCTTCATCACCCTTTGCTATCCACCCCTCTCTTCATCCTCTGTGGCCCCCTCCTCTCCACCCCTTTCTTCATTCTTTATGGTCCCCTCCTCTCTGCCTCTCTTTTTATCCTCTATTACCCTCTCCTCTCTACCCCTACTCTTTCATCTTCATCCTCTATGGTCCCTTCCTTCATCACTCCACCCCCTCTCTCTCTTCATCCCTTTATGGCCCTCCCCTCCTCTCCACCCCTCTCTTCATCCTTCATCCTCTATGGGCCCCCTCCTCTCCACCCTTTATCACCCTCTCCTCTCCACCCCTCTCTCATCCTCTATGGCCCCCTCCTCTCCACCCCTCTCTCTTCATCCACCCCTCTCTCTTCATCCTTTATCACCCTCTCCTATCCACCCCTATCTTCATCCTCTATGGCCCCCTCCTCTCCACCCCTCTCTCTTCATCCTTTATCACCCTCTCCTCTCCACCCCTCTCTTTCATCCTCTATGGCCCCCTCCTCTCCACCCCTCTCTCTTCATCCTTTATCACCCCCTCTCCCACCCCTATCCACCCCTCTTTTTCATCCTCTATGGCCCCCTCCTCTCCACCTCCTCCTCTCCACCCCTTTCTTCATTCTTTATGGTCCCACCTCCTCTCTGCCTCTCTTTTTTTTATCCTCTATTACCCTCTCCTCTCCACCCTCTCCTCTCCACCCCTCTCTCATTCTCTATCATTCTCTCCTCTCCATCTCTTTTCTCTATCATCCTCCTCTATCACCCCTCTCTTCATTCTCTATTTCCTCTCCTCTATCCACCCCTCTCTTCATCCTCTATCTTGTTCTCCTCCCCTCTCCTCTCATCCTCTATGGCCCCCTCCTCTCCCTCTTTCTTCATCTTCTGTTGACAACACCTTCTTCTTTCCTCTTGCCCCCAGGTACACAGTCTGCAAATGGAAGTTCTTTCCATCTTGAGATGTCTCAGGAGGGGTTCAGCGCAGTTCTGACATCGGTAAATATGAACTATCTCACATTCCCATTTACTACTGGAACCAAAAACTTACACCACAAAGCCCCCCCCACACACACACACACACACACACACACACACTGCTCCAATTCAGGGTCCCTTCTACCTGGATTCAGATGCAGATTCTCAGCTTTTGGCGGTGTCCCCTTCTCCTGAGGTATTTGCGGGTTTTTTATACAACATACTTCCCCGTTACTTCATGTTTATGATTTCCTTTTTACACGACACCAATTGGTAGAATTATTATGTATGCAGCTTGGATTACTCCATTCCAAATTAAATAAAGTCCCTCTAGGGGTATCTGTATACACAGATCCTGCCCAACCCTCCATGGTGTCCCCACACACTGACCAGAAATGAGGGGTCGGAGTTCTGAAGATGTAGGCCAGGAAGTCCTTGTCCCTGTGTGGACCTCCTGTGGATAGAATAGGTGCCATCCAAACCAGCCATTCCTGAGACCTCAGAAATAATCATGGGGGTAGAGCTGAGAGATGTTCAGACAGAAGAGGAGACAACATACCTCCTCGGTTTAGGCTTCCAAGGTCCTTGTATAACCCTGAAAAGTTAATCTGTCTTTTATAATTGTACTGTTTTTACTAGAACTGCCATTTTCCCTGGAGAGGTTGAATTCCAGAACATATCTAGATTCAGAGTAGACCATATGCCTGCTATAGGGCCGACAAGCACAAGAGGACCCTGTCTTGTTACAATTGAGGGTCATTCATGCCTTTGAGAAAGGAAACTGTCGTTGAGATAGAGAGGTCGTTATTGGCTTTGCTATGGGGCTCCATTATCCATGGTTATGACGTGAAAGCATGATAAAGGACCATACAATTCTGATAATGGATACAATGTGTGGGGGGGGGGGGTACAACTATAAACTGCCCAGGGTGCAGATATGAGGTGCCCTTTAGAGGGGATAATGGACCTGTAGACCCTCAAGCCAGGAACTGTCTTCTTGGTATAGAAGGTTGACGTGATGACGCATGAATTCTGTTCCAAGAAGGAAACTCTGCACTTACTGTATATTTGATGGCATAGATCTGCCCTGTAAGCCGATTGGGTAACCTGTCTCACCAAAATATTTAAAAGCCGAGTCAGCAATAGGAAGTGACATTCACAATTACTGAATGAAGCTTCCATCACCATGAAGATCTCATATCCCCTTTTTAATGCCGCCTTCTTCTCCAGAGAGGGCCCATCCTTGGGGCAGTAGGTGCTTATGACTGGTCTGGAGGGATATCCATGTACTTGGACGGTCGGCAGAATGGCACCTGGATAAATGCTACAAAGGATCGAACCGACATGAAGGATTCTTACATGGGTGAGAAAACCATTGATTACAGAGCTGTACGGATGTCACAAGATTCTTGTATGTCACACAATTCATAAACTAGCATCAATGATCACTAGAATCCTACAAATGGTGGATATGGAAGGTGGAAGCTAAGGTTAGAGGGAGCTTATTACACGTCTGTAAAATGGATCTATCTCCACCATGACTCTTCTCTTCTCCTTGTACAGGTTATGCAGTCCAGCAGGTGCAGTGGGACACATTGGCCATTGGTGCACCAAGATACCAACATCTGGGCAGTGTCTTCATCTACAAGAATAATCCAACAACATCGGAGTGGAGCCAGGTGGCTGCATTCACCGCAGACAAGGTGACAGAGGGGTGCAGGAGTGGGAAGTTCAACGGATGGAAAGGCAACCTTTCAAAGATTCAATGGTTGAAGAGGTTGGAGACCACAGATACAGCTAGACACATGACAAGATTTAGAGGAAGCAGAAGTTGACAAGATTGTCAGGATGTTTCTGGGAATGGATGGGAGGAGAGCAATGAGTCTCATTTTTGGGAAGACATTTATGATAAGAACATCTGAGAATTCTCTGTGATCCTCCACTTATACACAAGTTCTTTATATGTACAATCTGTCTTCTTAGATTGGGTCATACTTTGGGTCGGTGCTCAGTATCCTGGCTTTGAATTCCACACACTCTCTTCTTGTGGTTGGGTCCCCAACGTATTTCTCTCCTCAAGCCCCAGGAGGGCGAGTGTACCTATGTCCTGTCACCGAGGTGAGGCCTAGACTGCTAATCAATGATGTTCTAACCCTCTGTGTTTACTTGATGACAGTACAAGAAGAGATGCCAGTAAGTTGGTTGTTTCAGGTGTATAAATCAGTTTAATTGCACCTTCTTCCCTTTGGGAAGACATTGAACAGTAATTATCCTCAATCCCTGTTTATCGTTCTGTCCCCATAATACTAAAAAGAACACTGAAGCCCACTGTGACCTTCTGGAAGTGGCCTTCAAGTCTTCATGGTCTCATTTATTAGAGGAAGACTATAGCCTGGTACTCATCCATTTTCCTGCAACTTTGGAGATGCCAAATCCATCTTCCATCTCCTTGTCTCAGCATTTTCCATGACTGCTCATATTTATGTGTGGAGTCCTCCAGAGCAATAGATACCTGTGATGGTCCTAGTGATCATAGCTCTGCATTTAGCTATAATTGATTACAATTTACCAAACTGGGTTGAGCCTCAGATACTAAAATTTAGGTACAAAGAGGAATTCTATGAGACCTATGAAATTGTTTCAGTTCCCTTATTATTTTTAACTACATCATAATAATCACTATTAGCTTCCAGCTTTGATCTTTTCTTGTGTTTCAGGTCAGGAACGCCTGGCACCCTAGAGGAGCATCTGTCACTATGACATGTCCAGAGACCCTTCAAGGTGACCCCAGCCAATCTGTAGGTCATTTCGGTTCTGCCATCTCTGTTCTACCAGACATGACTGGAGATGAGCTACCAGACTTGGCAGTTGGTGCCCCATGCGAAGACAACTATCAGGGGGCCATCTACATCTTTCCAGGTCAGAGTGAGAGCTTCAGAACTTCATATATACAGGTACCCATCTTTTTCTTCTGCCAGTCTACAACTGTGATGATTCTATTCAGGTGTCAGTTACTCTTTGTGTCCGCTCACATTGGTTGGCTCTCTGTTGAGAATGGAATGTTATGTCAGGTTATTTTTCCTCTGCTGTGTTTTCATTTATGGTTCCTTCCCTTTCTACAGCGCATTACTGGTCGGCAGGTCAGTGGTGGCATCAGGTTCTTTGGCAGGTCACTGAGTGGAAATCTGGACATGACGGGGGACAATCTGCCAGATCTTGCAGTGGGAGGTGAAGGACTAGTCTTGGTAGTGAGGTGAGAAGAAAATGAAATTAGTTATTAGATCTTTTTTATCCTGGTGTGACTTCATCACCAGATCATCACCTCTGGACTTTACTGTATGTTATCTATGGTGCCTTCACTGGAAGCCTCCTGGGACAGTATGCCAATCACTCTCTCCAAGATGGTAAAGGACCTCTGGGTAATGTGTATGGCCAGACAGAATCACTGCTGCTCTCTCAGGAGTGATGAGCACCTACAATGAGGGGGCAGAAATAAAAATGTTGGATTCCCCAATATGTCTTCTGGTCATGGAAATGCACCTTGCACGATGTTGCTTACATATGGTGCAGGAACTCCAACTGAGGCCAAATCCTGTGCCACAATGTACAATCAGCTTGTATAAGGGAAATTCAACAACCTGAAAAGGACCAATAATCCTCATTGTACATGTTATGGTACCACGCTGTTTGTCTTTTACAAAACCTCCATAAATAACCATTTTGAATCTCTGACTCCTCTGTAGGTCTCGACCGGTTCTGGGTGTCTCAGTCGGCATGACATTTGATCCCATTGAGATACCCCTCTCATTCTACGAGTGCTCAGATCAGTTCAAAGCTGGGAGTGCAATAAAACTCATCGTCTGCTTCTTCAGCTACCAGAAAAACACCAGGGCAACAGGTGAGCCAGGTGGGGGGGGGGGGGTGACCAGAAGAGTCATCATTTCCTGGGACAATCAGAGGGTACCAGACTGAGATCTTATAGCTGTTGCATCTATACTCTCAGAGGGCTTCAAACCAGCTCACTTCTGCAAAACACATATGGCAGATTGGGAGTAATACCTTTATTGTACATTGCTTTAGTACAGAAGAATATTGGGTTTTCTTTGTATGAGAAAAGTGTCCATGAAAATATAGATTGCTGCTCCGGGTTTAAGCCAGAGAGGTGGTGGTCAGATGGGAAGAGTCAGAGCCAGGGAGTGAAAAAGGTGTGCACTATCCACACTATTCCCCATACAATCCATCCCGGGTCCAATCAACACTGACCCACTTACCATACAAACCATCACCACACCATCAAATTGTACAAAGGATAGTGCCCTGTGCCATCCAAACTATATACCTATACAATCAACCGCCGCCCCCGTACAATCCAGACCATCTGCCTTAACCATCCAAACCCTTATTCATATCTTCTAAACGATCATCCCCTGTACCATCAAAACTGCCTGGCATACATTCTAAACCATCCCCTGTACCATCCAAACCACTCTGCCGTACCATTCTAACTATCCTTGGCACCTTTCAAACCCTCTCCTGCACCATCTAAACATCTTCCATACAGTTAAACCATCTCCTATACCATCCAAACCATACATGGTACCATCTAAGCCCTCTCTTGTATCATCTAAACATCCTATACCATCCAAACCATCCCTGATACCATCTAAACCCTCTCTTCTACCATCGATACATTCTCTATACTACTCAAACCATCCCCCATATCATCCAAACCATCCTCCACATTATCCAAACCATTGCCTGTATAATCCAAACCATAGTCCATACTATTCAAACCCTCCCATGCATCATCCACACTATCCCTTGGTATCATCCAAACCTTCCCCTATCCAAACTGTGACTGCATCCATCCACACAATCCACCATGTCATCCAAACTATCCCTTAAACCTTCCTTGGTACCATCTAAATATCCTCCCATACCATCCAAACTATTTCTTGTATAATTCAAACCATCTTCTGTATCATCCAACCCCTTAACTGTACCATCCAACCCATCCCACATATCTTGGTCACTATGACTGTCTTTATCACAAAGTTCTGAGTCTGGTCCATCAAGTTGCACTACACAGGGACTCCAGGGCCACAATGGTACTGAAATGAAGGGAAGGGCCAGACACTAGTCACTGGGATGAAAGAATACTTAGAGGGTCTAAGTAGGAAGTACCAGCGCCTCTGTAGAATTATAAATCTATTACAGGTAGGGCAAAGAAAGTGGAATTCCAGACAAACACAGCTAGAAACCACATAGAATTACCATTTTACCTGCCAATAAATATGTACGTTTGTTCAGCTACTCCTGTGATTTACAGATGCCTGCCACACAGCCCATTCAGGAAGATCGCCCTTCTGCTAGTTGGGCAGAGGTGATGATGGCCATTCATAGGCCAATGAGCGTAAAGATACTAAGCCAGGATATAACGTGTCACTTGCTTGGCTGGGCGGTGGTGTATGAATCACAGGACTGTCTGAACAGGATTGCCAGTCCATTAGCTGGAGAAGCAGCCACAATGTACACATGTAAGCCATGTGTTCAGACATTTGCCTGTTCCACTTTATATCTTTTCACATTCTCTCAGTGGAGGACTTTGGTCAGGTGACATATTCTCTTCTCCTGGATGCTGGTCGCACCAACACTCGGGCCCTCTTCCCAAAGCTGGGCGCTCCCTCAATGCCAACCAGCGTCTTCTGTCAGGGGAAGCATGTGCAGACCATTCCATCCAAATTCCTGTGAGTACCTCTCTATCTGTAGACCATATAAAGCTGAGAAGATTATGTCTCTCACCCGTCCTGTCTCTGTGTCTAGGAGTGTGTGGAAGACTCTCTGTCCTCTCTCCCGAGTCTCGCTCAATTTCTCACTTGCTGGAATTCCTGTGCTGAGTGAGGACTCCCCATCCAACCACTCTGCAGAGGTATGGAGGCTCCACGCACTATGTAGGGTATTGCAGATCACAGACCTGGTCACATACCTTCAGATCTTTCTCCACAGGTCCCATTTCAGAAGAACTGTGGTGGCGACGGGGTGTGCGAGGACAATCTGAGCCTGAAGATCACCTTCATAGGGTGAGATGGAGGACCTTGCTCTGTCATCAGCCTGACCGATGAAAGCGTTCTCTCTTGGGTGGTTTTGGGTGTCTCATGAAAGCTGGTGTGACCATCTTATTCCTTTATCTAACAGTGTCAACCAGCTGGTGGTTGGAGTGACTCTTGACATCAACATGACAGTCTTGGTGAAAAACGAAGGTGAAGATTCATACAACACTCGTGTTATCATCCCCTTCCCCTCCGGCTTGTCATATCGCCTGGTGTCTCTCATTGAGGTAATGGGGAGCTGTCTCTTCTCCGGCTCCTCGGTATGGTGGAGCAGTTGTAATCTAATTTTATTCATCTTGTAGAGCAACAAGAAAGTGACGGTTTCATGTGCCTCTCTGGAAGGTCAGAGAGTGGTGAACTGTGGGGTGAACAGACCTCTCCTGAGACCCAACACCACGGTAAGAGGAGAGAGCCTGAGAGAGGGTGCTAGAGTGCTGGTGTGTGAGAGAGCAATGAACGCTATGCAGAAAGGGCTACAAAAGAAAGAACCCGGAGACTGATTAACATCGAATATGATGCTTTGATGTGAGAATAACCAAGTTATAACTCCGGCACTTAACCTAAACGTCAGTTATTGACCTCTAATACTAATTATAAACCTCAATGTAACACCAAACTTACTTGCAGCCCCACCTACTAATTGTCCAGCTCCCAACTATACCCTCAACGTAATCCCTAAACCCCAACAACCATTCTTCTTTCCAGTTCTGACCTTAACCAAGAACCTTCAGATTAACCCAAACTTTAACCCCAACCTAACACTAATTCTCAGTTCCTAACCCTAACATTTCTCCCCTAACCCCAACCTTCAAATCTATCCCAAATGCTAACACCCAACCTTCAAACTATCTTCAAAAATCTTTAAACTTCAAAACCTTTAAACCAACCCTAAAGCAGCATTCCCCATCTTTTTACCCTAGAAGAACCCTTGGAATAAATGTTAGGTCTTGGGGAACCCCTGCTAAACCCCAGTTCATTGGGGGAGCAATGAAAAGAGTGCCTTCCCCTACAGTAATGGTCAGACGCCACACTTCGATAACTAAAAAAGATCATTGATGCCATGTCGCTGACTCTGACATGTAGCATTGGCCCCAGATCCATGTAGGCACCATTAAATAGGAGGTCAATCAGCTAGCAACCTCTAGAGGAACACAGATTGAGAATGGCTGGACCATCAACCTAATCTTCATCTTTCAAATTACCGCAACACTCAACCTATCCTGACACCCCAAGCCTCAACCTAACCCTCAACCCTCACTATACACAGAACCCTCAACCCAACCCACACTCTTAACGTAACCCAACTCTGTCAATTTGACCCCCTGGCCCTCGGTCTAATCCTCAACCTATCTCCAAAATAACAGCACTGATATGTACTGCTGATCTGGAACTGAAACTGTAAAGGAGTGCTGGGACACCCCAACACTTGGTTTGATTGAAGCATGGCACAACCACAAGGGAATGACTTCTCCAGTCACTTGAGAGGGGTCTCTTGGAGGTCCTGTATGGAGGTTGTCAGGGCTGGGTGGCAAAGAGAAGGCATGAGCACATATGAATTGAGCAGAATGACACAAATCTAAAGCAGCAGAGTCGGAGCCAGGCTGTAGAGGGTCCCCATGGTGGATTGGGGGGGGGGGGGGGGGAGTCTGCCATTAAGACAGTACAAGCAGATGATGGCCAGAATGTCAGTGACCCACCCCCCCCCCCCCCAGTGAGAATCATTCACATCTTTTCCCCACTCACACCTCACTTCTGGGGTCTCTTCCAGGCCATCTTCCTGGTGGGTTTTCACGTTTCAGCGAATGCTGCCCTGGGGAACTCTCTGACAATGTCAGCCAACGTGAGCAGGTAAGTGACCACTGGGAACATGTGGGAGGAACAGACCTGATGTGTTGCCACCCTGTGAGATCGAAGGGCAGAACAGTTCATGCAGGCCTCATCTGCTCTGCAGCTGCACCATCAATTTACATGGACCCAATTTACTAAGCTGGCCGGAGGGTCGCCAACATTCAATCACATGAAGGCGAGGTTCTGTTTTATCCAAGTGTTCCCATACACCACTAGAACTGAACTACCAATGGGAAGGTCCATGGAGGAGCCAGGCACTTTCTTGAGGTCCCTCCTATCAGGTGGAGGAGCCAGAGGGCAGAGACAAGTGATGATACTGACATAATGGCGGGCCCCAGATTACGTGGCTTTGGGGGGCTCTAGAGGGGATTCACCATGGCCACATGTTTTGCTGGTCTTCATTGTCACCGAAAGTGACAGGAAATCCGAAATGTTAGAGTTGTCACCTGAACAGGAGGGGAGGAGAAATCTCCCGAATCCTGCACAGTGCGGTGGGTGGCAATGGACAAGAAGTCCAAAAATGAAGTGGTCCTTAAAGGTGTGCCAGAGTGGAGTCTCACATAGATGTGGCCTTTTTTAGCATTCCCCTTGTGCCATCTTAGCTGGATAACTTTGGGCCGTTATTGAAGGCTCCTCCAAGCACTTCTATCTCTGCTTCTGTTTTCAGCGATTACAGACGAGCCCCCACCGATCGAATGATGTCCTCATCTCAGCTGAGCGTCCGCTATGCCATCTACGTTACCATCACCAGGTGAGTAAAAGAAAGTGGAGATGGAATCCGGCGATGGAAAATTCCATGTCCATCTGACAAGGATTGGACAGTCTGACTACCCCATGTAGTCTTCTGGATCCGCTTTGGCCATAGGCAGGAATGCTCCGGTTTCAGGAGGGTTCCTCAGCACCCCTCAACGTGCTGCCTACAGTCACGGGTTATCTGGGGGGAGACAAGAACGATCGGAAGAGGTTTGTTCTCAACTTCTTCCTCCTACGAGTGCTGGCAGCTGGGGCCATCTGTGGCCACCGGAGACATTGGGGGGGTCATTCGTGTCCAGACCTGCAGAACAAAAACTTTTGTTTCATTTCAGATCGATTTGTTGAGTTACTAATTTTGTATTTTTGCATTCGTAACGAAAATTTGGTTTGTTTATTCGTTTTTGACCAGATTCAAATTTTTTTTCATGGCTTCAAATTCGAATTGAAAATATGGAATCGATACAAATTTATTGCGAAGAACAACGGTTCTATTCTATTCAGAATTCAAATTTGCTATATTCTCTCTGTTCTTTTCAATTATTTTCCTTTATTTTCTAATCTATTCTTTTCTATTCCATTTCAAATTCGACATTTCAGAAGACGGCTGTATTTTTTCTATTTTTATTTTATTCGAATTTCAGAGGCTGACTATATTCTAATTTTATCCTATTCTATTTTTTTCTATTCGTTTCTTTATTGTTTTATTCTTTTCAATTAAAATTTTGAATTTTGAAAAGACGGCTATATTCATTCTATTCTATTTTTTTTTTCTCTTCTATTCCTTTATTTTCTGCTCTATTCTGTTTTATTCTATTCTTTACAAAATTTCAAAAGTCGGCTATATTCTTTCCATTTTATTCTACTCGAAATTTGAATTTCAGAAGATAGCTGCAATCTTTTTCATTCTAGTCTGTTCTATTTGAAATTATATTTCTTTCTATCCTCCTCTTTTTTCAATTCCATTTCATTTTTTTGGAAGACGTCTATAATCTTTCTATTCTGTTTCTTTGTTTTCTACTTTATTCTTTTATTTTCTGTTCTATTCTATATTTTTCCTAATTCGAATTTCAGAAGACGGCGATATTCTAATACACAAGGTCTGTGAAGGAAATCAGCAATAGCCAGCAATGTTCATAGTTTTCGTTTTCCGATTCCATTCCATTTTCAAATTCTATTCCAATAATCAATATTTTGGCTGAACATTTCGTGATCTGTAAATTCGTTACAATTGTAATTCAGATTCCTGTGAATTGCTGCATATCGAAATTTTTGTCCATATTTTGATTCGGAACAAAAATGAACCGCGCGTCTATTTGTGGCTGGGGCTCCTCGGTTTCTCACAGAGCTTTGTTTAGGATTTAATGCCGACATTTTGAGTTGTCACCAGAACAGGTGTCAGAAGATCGCTCTTCTCTTCTGGTGACACCTGTCTGAAGCTGGACATACATTGAGAGATTTTCTCCATTCATCCCTCTGGTTCAGGGGTAGGCAACCTGCGGCTCTCCAGCTGTTTGAGGACTACAAGTTCCATCATGCCTCTGCAAGTCATAGCTGTAACTGTCAGTTTTGTAATGTTGCAATCAGGGGCGGACTGACAACTCATGGGACCCCCGGGCAATAGGGGATCATGCGGCCCCTGTTTCCTTGCCCAAACTCAAAAAAGCCTATGAAAAAGGTACCAGGGGCATCTCCTGGGGCCCCTTACTGACCCCAGGCCTTTGTTCAGTGCCCGAGTTTCCAAATGGTCAGTCCACCCCTGGTTGCAATGCCTCATGGGAAATGTAGTTCCACAACAGCTAGAGAGCCGCAGGTTGCCTACCCCTGCTCTGGTTGAACGAAAAAACCCTCAAGATTCCCACATGAACACAGGAGATGTGGATGCAGGAATCCCCCTCATTGAGCTATTGTATTCCAAGAGCGGGGACTCCCCCCCCGTCAGAGAACACTGACCAAGGCGGCAGCGGCAGATCGAATGCTGGTTTTCCAGCAGAATCGTTCTACAGAAGCCGATTGCACAGACAGTTCTTGCTGAATCGGCCAAATTTCGATATGTGTATGTCCAGTTTAGAGAGAACTAATCTCAGTGACTGCTGGTCACAGGAGATTCGGAGACCCACCATCGGTGTCTCCATTGTGCTGCTCATGGTTCTCCTTGCTGGAGAGGAAGCCGTACCTGAGGAAGAATCTCCCTTCTTCTGCTTCATCCATTCTGTGGATCTGTGCTTCCTCCACCTCTATCATTACCCCACCAGGCATCTAGGGGGGGGCAGCTCTGACATGAGAAAGCAAAGTCCCACCTCCATCAAAATGGTGGCCTCTACACAAGACATGGTAAGTTAGTAATGGGGAGAAGATCAGCTGCTGGGGGACCACAGACAATACTGGTCCTTTGACCTTTTGGGGCACGCCTTCCATAGATCAATTCCTCAAAAAAAAAAAAAAATGGGAGGAGCAATAGTTTACTGCATGACATTAAGCAGAGGTCTTCTTCTGGGAAGGTGGTATTTATATGAGCTACGAGAGGAGCGCTGCCTGTTGGTTCTGCTAGTTCGGAGGGGTAATCCGACTACTGCAAGCCATTTCATGGTAACCGACTACCAGGGGAGACCTTCCTTGGATGGGATCATAGGGGGGGGAGGCGGGTGTTAGAGGCACTTCTTACCCCACAACTCACACTCACTGTCTGTGCTTGTTGTAGCCTCGAAGAGTCCAGCAAATACCAGAACTTCTCCAACGGTGACTCCACCATACAGCATATCTACAGGGTAAGAGTAGACAGGGTGGGGAATTAAAACCTCATCCCAGCAGCCTCTTCCATGTAACCACCCCCTTCTCCCTGTCCTCAGGTCATTAACCTGGGCCAGCGGTCACTCCCTCCCTCACCGTCATCTTCATGGTACCAGTGAGGTTGGGGGAGACGTCCATCTGGGAGACGAGGAACATTACAAGTTCTAAGGTAACTACGCCCCACCACAGAGGTTGGCACCGTGACTTGACCCTCCAATACGTCCAGGTTCCCCATCGTCATGGAGGCATCATTAATATATTGATAAGGTCTGTAGATTACCCCCCCCCCCCCCCCCCCCCAAGTCTGGGTCTACATGTTGGTAGTGCACTCCTGATGATTACACATGATCTATAAATTAGATGCAGCAACACATTAGTGTCCAATTTCAGGTCAGTCTCCTCCCCCCTAGCTGGGGGCTACAGATCAGAGACCCCACATAAGTTATTAGGGGGAGTAGGATCATGGATGAGGTACAGCAGGAATTTCAGAGGACACAATGGAAGATGAGGTGGGCTAATAAAGTGAGATCTTAGATGAGACAGTGGGGTCAGGAGGACCACAGGTTATGCAGTGGGCCCCAGATGAGGTAATAGAGTAAGTAGGATTATAGATGAAATAATGGAGTCAGCAAGTAACCCAGGTGAGACAGTTAGTTGAGGAGGGACCCCAGCTGAGACAGTGTGGTGAAAAGGGACCCCAGCTGAGACACTGGGGTAAAAAGGGACCCCAATGAGGTAATGGAGTGCAGGAGTATCCCTTATGAGACAGTGAGGCAAGGAGAGGGATCCAAGTTTAGGCATTGTGGTATGGAGTGGGTTCTGGGGTGAAGGCCTATCATGTGCCTCTTTTTTTTCCCAGCCAGACATCTCCACATGTACTGAAGCCAGAGAAGCCCCCGGCGCTGAGAAGTACCAGGAGATCCTGGCAAGAAGTCCAATTCTGGTAAAGCGATGGAAACCAGTTCTCAGTGCCCCTCTTGAATGATGTTCTCTGATGTTTTCTTAGCCCAGAGTTGTCTCCTTTGTCCTCCACATCCCCTTTTCTTCTCTTGGGGGGTTTCATTCCCTCTGGAGTAGTCCCCTCCATATCATCCTCTGATTCCTCCTCCTCTCCCCAGAACTGTTCTGTTGGTTGGTGTGTCAGAGTGGAGTGTCAGATTCGGGATCTGGAGGTTCAGAGTTCTGTAAACTTCACTATCAGCGGATCTGTGACTGAAGGATCCGTCACTCAGGTAGGTACAGTCTGTCCAGACGTAGGTACACTCTACAGTCGAGTAGATCCACAGACATAGACAGAATATATAATTGGTCCTTCCTGGGGAGGTTGGGTCGCCCAGATTGTCATACATAGCAGACATTGTACACCTAAATGGGCAGTCCTGACACCATTCAGTTGGGGGCTCTTTCGCCATCCCCCAGAAACAGCTACACATATGGCCATACAATGTTCTCCATCTCAGAAACATGTCCGTATGACCCCCACCCTTCACTGTACCTCCCAGACGCGTCCATACAATGTCCTCCATCTCAGAGACATGTCCGTATGACCCCCACCCTTCACTGTACCTCCCAGACGCGTCCATACAATGTCCTCCATCTCAGAGACATGTCCGTATGACCCCCACCCTTCACTGTACCTCCCAGACGCGTCCATACAATGTCCTCCATCTCAGAGGACATGTCCGTATGACCCCCACCCTTCACTGTACCTCCCAGACGCGTCCATACAATGTCCTCCATCTCAGAGACATGTCCGTATGACCCCCACCCTTCACTGTACCTCCCAGACGCGTCCATACAATGTCCTCCATCTCAGAGACATGTCCGTATGACCCCCACCCTTCACTGTACCTCCCAGACGCGTCCATACAATGTCCTCCATCTCAGAGACATGTCCGTATGACCCCCACCCTTCACTGTACCTCCCAGACGCGTCCATACAATGTCCTCCATCTCAGAGACATGTCCGTATGACCCCTACCCTTCACTGTACCTCCCAGACGCATCCATACAATGTCCTCCATCTCATCTCAGAAGGAGGGGGGTTTGAGACATGTCCGTATGACCCCCACCCTTCACTGTACCTCCCAGACGCGTCCATACAATGTCCTCCATCTCAGAGACATGTCCATATGACCCCCACCCTTTACCTCCTAGTCATCTCTGTACAATGTCCTCACCCCTTAGGACACATCCGTACAACAACCCCTCCAACCCAAGACATGACTATACTACCTCCTTCACCCCCCAGTCACGTCCATATAACACCCCCCATCCCTCAGACACATCTATACAACCTCCTCCTCCCCCCCCCCAGACATCTATTACAACCCCCCCCCAGACATCTATACAACCCCCTTCACCCCCAGTCACGTCCATATAACACCCCCCATCCCTCAGACACATCTATACAACCTCCTTTACCCCCCCCCCCCCCAGACATCTATACAACCTCCTTCACCCCCCAGTCATGTCCATATAACACCCTCCACCCCCCAAACATCTGTACAGCCCTCCTTCACCCCACAGTCCCGTCCGTATAACACCCCCCAGACACATCTTTACAACCCCCTTCGCACTGGTCCAACCTCCCCCAGGGGGGTGGGTGAGATCTGTATAACAGTCCCCAGTCACGTCCCTACAATATCCTTTAGCCCCCAGACCTGTCTATGTCCTCACCTCCTTCTCTCTGGTCTCAGTCAGGACAGCAGCAGATTTTCCTGCAGACCGCAGCGGAGATCAGATACGATTCTCAGACGTACGCGCACATCCTGGAACAGAACCAGCGTTTCGTCAGAGCCCAGGTACTCACCTCTCTCACAGTAATACTGGGGGTGGGGAATTGGGGCCTGGAGGTCTTCTTCATGGGAATGGTAGCCTCTGGTGGAGGTGCCAGTTCTGGGGCAGAGCTCAACTCTACAGGCATCACGATGGCCTGGACCCGGCTCCAACCCCGGGAGAGGGACCATGGCTCCTGGGGCGGTAATGGCGGCTCTGATGGGTTCACTGGAAGGACAAATCTTTTTGTATTTCAGACACAGACGGCGCTGGAGATCAGCAAGGAGTACAACTATTACCCCATCATCATCGGCAGCAGCGTGGGGGGGCTGGTGCTCCTGGCACTCATAACCGCCGGCCTGTATAAGGTAAGAGGCAGGTCATTGATTGGTCAGGGTGGTGGGTGTGACCCATGGCCGGCCCGCTGCTTTTTTTAGTCTAAGGGAGGTTTGAGGATAGTAAATGGTCAGTTATTCATCATCTATGACCCGGGACCCAACCGGGATTCCATCAGCCTGCTAGTGATGCAGCGCCGCCTACTGGAGGCAGCACAGACAGCACACAAAACTTGTACATCATTCCTAGAGATCGCAGTGCTGCCACCTACTGGACGCGCATCAGATCGCAGAGCTGCCCCTGCTGGACGCGCATCAGATCCCATTGCTGCCCCCTGCTGGACGCGCATCGGAGCGCAGCGCTGCCCCCTGCTGGACGCGCATCGGAGCGCTGCCCCCTGCTGGACGCGCATCGGGGCGCTGCCCCCCTGCTGGACGCGCATCGGGGCGCTGCCCCCTGCTGGACGCGCATCAGAGCGCTGCCCCCCTGCTGGACGCGCATCGGAGCGCAGCGCTGCCCCCTGCTGGACGCGCATCGGAGCGCAGCGCTGCCCCCTGCTGGACGCGCATCGGAGCGCAGCGCTGCCCCCTGCTGGACGCGCATCGGAGCGCAGCGCTGCCACCTGCTGGACGCGCATCGGAGCGCAGCGCTGCCCCCTGCTGGACGCGCATCGGAGCGCAGCGCTGCCCCCTGCTGGACGCGCATCGGAGCGCAGCGCTGCCCCCTGCTGGACTCGCATCAGAGCGCAGCGCTGCCCCCTGCTGGACTCGCATCAGAGCGCAGCGCTGCCCCCTGCTGGACTCGCATCAGAGCGCAGCGCTGCCCCCTGCTGGACTCGCATCAGAGCGCAGCGCTGCCCCCTGCTGGACTCGCATCAGAGCGCAGCGCTGCCCCCTGCTGGACTCACATCAGAGCGCAGCGCTGCCCCCTGCTGGACTCGCATCAGAGCGCAGCGCTGCCCCCTGCTGGACTCACATCAGAGCGCAGCGCTGCCCCCTGCTGGACTCACGCAGCGCTGCCCCCTGCTGGACTCACATCAGAGCGCAGCGCTGCCCCCTGCTGGACTCACATCAGAGCGCAGCGCTGCCCCCTGCTGGACTCACATCAGAGCGCAGCGCTGCCCCCTGCTGGACTCACATCAGAGCGCAGCGCTGCCCCCTGCTGGACTCACATCAGAGCGCAGCGCTGCCCCCTGCTGGACTCACATCAGAGCGCAGCGCTGCCCCCTGCTGGACTCACATCAGAGCGCAGCGCTGCCCCCTGCTGGACTCACATCAGAGCGCAGCGCTGCCCCCTGCTGGACTCACATCAGAGCGCAGCGCTGCCCCCTGCTGGACTCACATCAGAGCGCAGCGCTGCCCCCTGCTGGACTCACATCAGAGCGCAGCGCTGCCCCCTGCTGGACTCACATCAGAGCGCAGCGCTGCCCCCTGCTGGACTCACATCAGAGCGCAGCGCTGCCCCCTGCTGGACTCACATCAGAGCGCAGCGCTGCCCCCTGCTGGACTCACATCAGAGCGCAGCGCTGCCCCCTGCTGGACTCACATCAGAGCGCAGCGCTGCCCCCTGCTGGACTCACATCAGAGCGCAGCGATGCCCCTGCTGGACTCACATCAGAGCGCAGCGATGCCCCCTGCTGGACTCACATCAGAGCGCAGCGATGCCCCCTGCTGGACTCACATCAGAGCGCAGCGCCCCTGCTGGACTCACATCAGCGCAGCGATGCCCCCTGCTGGACTCACATCAGAGCGCAGCGATGCCCCCTGCTGGACTCACATCAGAGCGCAGCGATGCCCCCTGCTGGACTCACATCAGAGGCGAGCGCAGCGATGCCCCCTGCTGGACTCACATCAGAGCGCAGCGATGCCCCCTGCTGGACTCACATCAGAGCGCAGCGCTGCCCCCCTGCTGGACTCACATCAGAGCGCAGCGCTGCCCCCTGCTGGACTCATCATCAGAGCGCAGCGCTGCCCCCCCTGCTGGACGCACATCAGAGCGCAGCGCTGCCCCCTGCTGGACGCACATCAGATCACTACTGGCAGAGTACAGAACCTACACGGCTGCAGATTTGAAATACAAATGTCAGAACAGCGAGATATGGAATATATATGATCCAATATTTGTGTGCTGTCCTGTCATTGGACGTTCTCCACTCTGGGGGTGTGGTCACAGCTCGGAGCACATGTCCAATTTAAAGGAGACATTTTTTTTTCAGCAAATCACAATTTTGACCCAAAATGTAAAATCTTTCTGTAAATGTTTATCAGACGTTTAACCCTTTAACTGTCTCTCCTCCCCTCCCCCCACCAGCTCGGCTTTTTCAAGCGTCAGTACAAGAACCTGCTGGAGAGTCCTGAGGGCCTGGAAGAGGCTCCTGTGGACCCCCCGATCGGCTGACCCCCGGAATGAGGCTCCTGTGGACCCCCCAATCGGCTGACCCCCGGAATGAGACTCCTGTGGACCCCCCAATCGGCTGACCCCCGGAATGAGGCTCCTGTGGACCCCCCGATCGGCTGACCCCCGGAATGAGACTCCTGTGGACCCCCCGATCGGCTGACCCCCGGAATGAAGCTCCTGTGGACCCCCCGATCGGCTGACCCCCGGAATGAGCTCCTGTGGACCCCCCGATCGGCTGACCCCCGGAATGAAGCTCCTGTGGACCCCCCGATCGGATGACCCCCGGAATGAGGCTCCTGTGGACCCCCCGATCGGCTGACCCCGGAATGAAGAGGCTCCTGTGGACCCCCCGATCGGCTGACCCCCGGAATGAAGCTCCTGTGGACCCCCCGATCGGCTGACCCCCGGAATGAGGCTCCTGTGGACCCCCCCGATCGGACCCCCGGAATGAAGCTCCTGTGGACCCCCCGATCGGCTGACCCCCGGAATGAGACTCCTGTGGACCCCCCGATCGGCTGACCCCCGGAATGAGGCTCCTGTGGACCCCCCGATCGGCTGACCCCCGGAATGAGGCTCCTGTGGACCCCCCCGGCTGACCCCCGGAATGAGCCTCCTGTGGACCCCCCGATCGGCTGACCCCCAGAATGAGGCGAATGGCGGAGTGAAGAGGCGGCGCGGCGTTCACTAGAAAATGTCCTTTATTGTTATTCAGTTAGATGCAAAAATAAGCTTTATATTCTGTACATTCTGAGGGAGACGTTATCTATAGAGACAGGCACCGCGGGGGAGGAGCAAGCTCTTCTGATTGGTCAGTGCAATGTGCAGGGGAGGGCTGGGGAAGCATTGTATTTGTCCAGCTTGTGCAGACAATAAAGGAGGAGCCTTGCCGGATGTCGTGGTGTCAACCTTTCTTCTCGGGGACACCGACCCCCAAATCTGTAGTGACAACCACCCAGAAAATGATGGACAGGCGAATGGTTAACAGACAGGTCATGTGACCCCCAGCACTGGGCATACTTCACTCTGATTGGAGGACGTGACAGACCCAACCTGAACGAGATGTGATTGGTGGATATGCCACCATTAGGACGGCCAGTCAGGTGATCACAGACCAGAATCTGAATATTCAGCATTAAATCCTGAAAGATCCGTCCCCTCCCCCCCTCAATCAGCTGCACTGTGTCTGAGTCCGATACTTGGGGCCAAGAGCCCAGGGGCCCCTCTGGAGGTCTTATAGTGGTTTCTGGTCCCTGTACTGGTAACACCTATTGTGTCCCAGCTCCAGAGTGTACATAACTGGGTCCGGCAGGAGAGGAATGCAGACAAGGTCAGGGCTGTGGTTACTTGGTGGTGTTATGTGCACTCAGGAGCTGGTGTCAGAATGAGCTAAGGCAGCCACTCACAGACCCCGGGGGATGGGGAGAGGTAGGCTCCCTGCTCCGACTCCCAGCTCCAGAGTGGTCTTCAGTCTCTGGAAACAACAAAATCAAGGGGGGGGGGGGGGGGATATAAGCCAGCCATAGGCAATGGACGGACGTTCAGATTGGTTCTTCTGCCCAGACGTGACAGGTTCTCTTTGCATTCATGAGTTTGACAAGTGAAAATCTATATAGTACAGCGCCCTCCGCAGGGATTCTGGGACAGTGCAATGGGTGAGCTGGGCTCTACGTCACTGTACAGAGAGTAGGGGTACAGTAAAGACAGAGAGCGCCCCCCTACAGAGCGCAGGCAGAAGTCTTCTGAGGACAACGTCCCCTACAGGGTGAAGATGGCGGTGCTCCACGCCTAGACTGCTCCCGTGTAGAAGACATGTTGGGTCTAGATGGCTATTCCCAGAGTGGTAACTCTTCTCCTCAGTCAGTGGTCCAGTCCCTCCAGGAGGGGCCCCGGGCCCTCAGCAGCATCTCTTCACATGAGGCTTCTTCTTGGTCTTGGTTATGGTGACGACCTCGTTAGGCCGCAGCCTGGCTTGGCTCTCCTTCTTCATCCTCAGGACCAGCCGGGTGACGGACAGGAACATCTGCGGGAGACAGGAGGGGGAAATGGAAGTCTGTATACACGACAAGGCCCCGCCCACTGCGCTGCACCCCCACGGGAAGGAAGGTCAATGCCGGGGTCTAGGACCTTCAGGAGGGAAGAGGTTCCACCTCACACAGCCGACTTCCTGCCTGCAGACGAGCCGATGACAGGAATATGGGACTAAAGAGGACCTGTCTGATCCATCGCAGTCATGGCATCTGCAGACATTTGTAGAGTCATGAAAGCAGCACATTATCCCCCCTCCCCCCCCCCCCTCGTACGTACGCCCCGCGGTCACAGGGAGCACAGACTACACAAACACACATTGTGCCGTCTCCGCTCTGAACAACAATCAGCTGTTTCCTCCCCCGCTGGGCCGAGACTCCATAATGGCCCCTGTGTCCCCCATCCCCTCTTCTCTGAATACAGAGGACTGAGCTGGGAGACACGGGCCAGGAGAGTCCCACCCCCCAAACTATACAGAGGAGCCAAAATAGGGCCCTTCATATCCGGGGGGCCCCCAAAGAACCCCCTAACACTGAATCTCCACCCTCAATATATTCTCTTAGGAGAACAGTCCCAGGGGAGCCATTAGATACACAGATCCCCCATCATACATGCATCATACATAGATCCCCCATCGTACATAGATCCCCCATCATACATGCATCATACATAGATCCCCCATCGTACATAGATCCCCCATCATACATGCATCATACATAGATCTCCCATCGTACATAGATCCCCCATCGTACATGCATCATACATAGATCCCCCATCATACATGCATCATACATAGATCTCCCATCGTACATAGATCCCCCATCGTACATGCATCAAACATAGATCCCCCATCGTACATGCATCATACATAGATCCTCCATCGTACATGCATCATACACAGATCCCCCATCGTACATGCATCATACACAGATCCCCCATCGTACATGCATCATACACAGATCCCCCATCGTACATGCATCATACACAGATCCCCCATCGTACATGCATCATACACAGATCCCCCATCGTACATGCATCATACATAGATCCCCCATCGTACATGCATCATACATAGATCCCCCATCATACACAGATCCCCCATCGTACATGCATCATACACAGATCCCCCATCGTACATGCATCATACATAGATCCCCCATCATACATGCATCATACACAGATCCCCCGTTGTACATGCATCATACACAGATCCCCCATCATACATAGATCCCCCATCCTACAAAAATCCCCCATCCTACACAAATCCCCCATCCTACATGCATCATACACAGATCCCCCATCGTACATGCATCATACATAGATCCCCCATCATACACAGATCCCCCATCGTACATGCATCACACATAGATCCCCCATTGTACATGCATCATACATAAATCCCCCATCATAAATGCATCAACACAGATCCCTCATCGTACACGCATCAACACAGATCCCCCATCGTACACGCATCAACACAGATCCCCCACCGTACACACATCGATCCCCCACCTTACATACACACATCCCCCATCAACAATGCATCATACATAGATCCCCCATCATACATACACAGATCCCCCATCATACATACACAGATCCCCCACCGTACACGCATCACACACAGATCCCCCACCGTACACGCATCACACACAGATCCCCCACCGTACACGCATCACACACAGATCCCCCACCATACATGCATCACACACAGATCCCCCATCGTACACGTATCATACATAGATCCCCCACCGTACACGCATCACACACAGATACCCCATCGTACACGCATCATACATAGATCCCCCATCATATATACATCAACACAGATCCCCCACCCTACACGCATCACACATCGATCCCCCACCTTACATACACACATCCCCCATCAACAATGCATCATACATAGATCCCCAATCATACATACATCATACAGATCCCCCATGACACATACATCATACACGGCTCCACCAATGAGAGGAAGACTCTGAGAACCCATCAGACCCCAATGGGGAGGAATCTCCTGCTGGATCTCTATACTGACATGGACGGGGGATGGGTGAGGAACGTAAGGACGCCCCATCATTGGATGGAAATGATCGCCCTACAGAGGACTGAATTCACAGACACCCCGAAAATCAAAGTGAAGAAATGATGCAGCAGGCGAGTCCATGTTGGTGAAATGTCATTGCAGCAACTCAGAATGGTCCTCAGTAGTCTGTGTGGCCCCCACGTGCTTGTATGCATGTCTGACAACGTCGGGGGAGGGTCCTAAGGAGACCACGGATGGTGTCCTGGGGGATTTCCTCCCAGATCTGGACCATCACTGAGCTCCTGGACTGTCTGAGGTGCAACCTGGAGGCGTCGGATGGACCAAAACATGACATTCCAGAGGGGTTCTATTGGATTTAGGTCAGGAGAGCGTGGGGGCCATTCAATGGTATCAATTCCTTCATCCTCCAGGAACTGCCTGCATACCCCCCCAGATGAGGCCGGGCATTGTCATGTACCGGGAGGAACCCGGGACCCACTGCACCAGGAGGAACCCGGGACCCTCTGCACCAGGAGGAACCCGGGACCCACCGCACCAGGAGGAACCCGGGACCCACCGCACCAGGAGGAACCCGGGACCCACCGCACCAGGAGGAACCCGGGACCCACCGCACCCAGGAGGAACCCGGGACCCACACCGCACCAGGAGGAACCCGGGACCCACCGCACCAGGAGGAACCCGGGACCCACCCGCACCAGGAGGAACCCGGGACCCACCGCACCAGGAGGAACCCAGGACCCACCGCACCAGGGGGTGCCATTGTCTAGCCTGTAGAGGTCTGTGTGTCCCTCCATGGAGATGCCTCCCCCAGACCATCACTGACCCACCACCACATCGGTCATGCTGAACCATGTTACAGGCAGCAGAACGTTCTCCACGGCTTCTCCTGACCCTTCACGTCTGTCACATGTGCTCAGGGGGAACCTGCTCTCATCTGTGAAAAGCACAGGGTGCCAGTGGTGGACCTGACAATTCTGGGGTTCAATGGCAAATGCCAATCCAGCTCTATGGTGCCGGGCAGTGAGCACAGGGCCCACTAGAGGACGTCGGGCCCTCAGACCACCCTCATGAAGTCTGTTTTTGATTGTTTGGTCAGAGACATTCACACCAGTGGCCTGCTGGAGGTCATTTTGTAGGGCTCAGGCAGGGCTCATCCTGTTCCTCCTTGTACAAAGGAGCAGATACCGGTCCTGCTGATGGGTTAAGGACCTTCTATGGCCCTGTCCAGCCCTCCAGAGGAACTGCCTGTCTCCTGGAACCTCCCCCATCGTGCGCTCGTCTCCTGGAACCTCCCCCATCGTGCGCTCGTCTCCTGGAACCTCCCCCATCGTGCTCTCGTCTCCTGGAACCTCCCCCATCGTGCTCTCGTCTCCTGGAACCTCCCCCATCGTGCTCTCGTCTCCTGGAACCTCCCCCCATCGTGCTCTCGTCTCCTGGAACCTCCCCCATCGTGCTCTCGTCTCCTGGATCCTCCCCCATCGTGCTCTCGTCTCCTGGAACCTCCCCCATCGTGCTCTCGTCTCCTGGAACCTCCCCCATCGTGCTCTCGTCTCCTGGAACCTCCCCCATCGTGCTCTCGTCTCCTGGAACCTCCCCCATCGTGCTCTCGTCTCCTGAAACCTCCTCCATCGTGCTCTCGTCTCCTGGAATCTCCTCCATCGTGCTCGTCTCCTGGAATCCTCCTCCCCATCGTGCTCGTCTCCTGGAATCTCCTCCATCGTGCTCGTCTCCTGGAATCTCCTCCATCGTGCTCGTCTCCTGGAATCTCCTCCATCGTGCTCGTCTCCTGGAATCTCCTCCATCGTGCTCGTCTCCTGGAATCTCCTCCATCGTGCTCGTCTCCTGGAATCTCCTCCATCGTGCTCGTCTCCTGGAATCTCCTCCATCGTGCTCGTCTCCTGGAACCTCCCCCATCGTGCTCGTCTCCTGGAACCTCCTGGAACCCATCGTGCTCGTCTCCTGGAACCTCCTCCATCGTGCTCGTCTCCTGGAATCTCCTCCATCGTGCTCGTCTCCTGGAATCTCCTCCATCGTGCTCGTCTCCTGGAATCTCCTCCATCGTGCTCGTCTCCTGGAATCTCCTCCATCGTGCTCGTCTCCTGGAATCTCCTCCATCGTGCTCGTCTCCTGGAACCTCCTCCATCGTGCTCGTCTCCTGGAATCTCCTCCATCGTGCTCGTCTCCTGGAATCTCCTCCATCGTGCTCGTCTCCTGGAATCTCCTCCATCGTGCTCGTCTCCTGGAATCTCCTCCATCGTGCTCGTCTCCTGGAATCTCCTCCATCGTGCTCGTCTCCTGGAATCTCCTCCATCGTGCTCGTCTCCTGGAATCTCCTCCATCGTGCTCGTCTCCTGGAATCTCCTCCATCGTGCTCGTCTCCTGGAATCTCCTCCATCGTGCTCGTCTCCTGGAATCTCCTCCATCGTGCTCGTCTCCTGGAATCTCCTCCATCGTGCTCGTCTCCTGGAATCTCCTCCATCGTGCTCGTCTCCTGGAATCTCCTCCATCGTGCTCGTCTCCTGGAATCTCCTCCATCGTGCTCGTCTCCTGGAATCTCCTCCATGCTCTTGAGACTGTGCTGGGAGACACAGCAAACCTTCTGGCAATGGCAGGTATTGATGGGCCATCCTGGAGGAGTTGGACTGCCTGTGCGACCTCTGTAGGGTCCAGGTATGGCCTCATGCTACCAGTAGTGACACTGACCCCGGCCAAATGCAAAAAGAGTGAAAAAACAGTCAAAAAAGATGAGGAGGGAAAAAATGTCAGTGTCCTCCACCTGTAAAACCATTCCTGTTTTGGGGGTCGTCTGATTGTTGCCCATCTAGTGCACCTGTTAATTTCATGACCACCAAAGCAGCTGAAACTGATGAACACCCCCCTCTGCGACTTACCTGACCAGATCCATATCCCAGGAGGTTCATGGACTCATTTTTTTTTGAGCAGTGTCTACATTCATCACAGATCCTGGAACTGCTCCATGTAAGGGAGACCTCCGTCTCCACCATTAATTAGCTGAGGACTCCAGAAGGAGATTCAGACCCATGGAACGCAGGAGGTAGCGCTCTACCCTCACCTCTTCTACGTTGCGGTTCTCCTTGGCGCTGGTTTCATATAGCCGCACTCCCATCTGCTCGCTGAACCTCTTGGCGTCCGCCGTTTCCACGCGTTTCCGAGACGGGTCATCGTCTTTATTACCCACTGTGGGAGACAGAAGAGGTCATATAGGAGTGCCGCCCCCAGTGCTCACATCCCACAGATCAGTGACCTCGGCATGCAGACACATTGTTACAGTGATACGGAACAGTGAATGGTTGGGTTAAACAACGAGGAATGGGGGGGGGGGGGGGCTCCATGGTAAAGAAAAATGGTGGCAGTTTGGCTTCAACAAGGTGTGGAACGAAGTTTATGCCTTTCACCTTAATACACGAGAAAGTAGTCAGATGAGGATGGAGAGCCACCTCTGAGAACCCCAAAATACGGGGGGAGGGGGGTTGGTGTTCAGATCTGGATGGAGAACCACCACTTCTGAGAACCTCAATACACTGGGGGGGGGGGGGGGGTGGTCAGATCTGGATGGAGAACCACCTCTGAGAACCCCCCAAAATACGGGGGGGGGGGGGCTGGTGTTGTTTAGATCTGGATGGAGAACCACCACTTCTGAGAACCTCAATACACTGAACGGGGGGGGGGGGGGGGGGGGGGGTGTTCAAAGCAGGATGGAGAGCCACCTCTGAGAACCCCAAAATACGGGGGGAGGGGGGTTGGTGTTCAGATCTGGATGGAGAACCACCACTTCTGAGAACCTCAATACACTGGGGGGGGGGGGGGGGCATGGTCAGATCTGGATGGAGAACCACCTCTGAGAACCCCAAAATACGGGGGGGGGTGGGGGGGGGGGGGGGGGGGTGTTTAGATCTGGATGGAGAACCACCACTTCTGAGAACCTCAATACACTGAGGGGGGGGGGGTGTTCAAAGCAGGATGGAGAGCCACCTCTGAGAACCTCAATACATGGGCGGGGGGGTGGTGGTCAGATCTGGATGGAGAACCACCTCTGAGGACCTCAATACATCAAATACACTGGGGGGGGGGGGGAATGTGGTCAGATCTGGATGGAGAGCCACCTCTGAGAGCCTCAATACACTGGGGGGGAAGTGTTCGGAGCAGGATGGAGAGCCAACTTTGAGAACCTCAATACATGGGGGAGGGGGGGATGGGCGGTCAGATCTGGATGGAGAACCACCTCTGAGAACCTCAATACATCAATACACTGGGGGGGGGAGAATGTGGTCAGATCTGGATGGAGAGCCACCTCTAAGAACCTCAATACACGGGGGGGGGAGACAAACGGGGGGGGTCAGATCTGGATGGAGAGCCACCTCTGAGAACCTCAATACACTGGAGGGTGGTCAGATCTGGACATAGAATGACCTCTGAGAACCTCAATACAATAGGGGGTGGTCAGATCTGGATGGAGAAACCACCTCTGAGAACCTCTCAATACATCAATACACTGGGGGAGGGGGGTGGGGTGAGTGGTCAGATCTGGAGGGAGAGCCACCTCTGAGAACCTCAATACACGGGGTGGGGGTGGGGGGCAGATCTGGATGGAGAGCCACCTCCGAGAGCCTCAATACAAAGGGGGGGTGGTCAGATCTGGATGGAGAGCCACCTGAGAACCTCAATACACTGGGGGGGGGGTGGTCAGATCTGGATGGAGAATGATGACCTCTGAGAACCTCAGTACACTGGGGGGGGGGGGTGGGTCAGAGCAGGATGGAGAGCCACCTCTGAGAACCTCACTACAATTGGGGTGGTCAGAGCAGGATGGAGAGCCACCTCTGAGAACCTCACTACAATTGGGGTGGTCAGAGCAGGATGGAGAGCCACCTCTGAGAACCTCACTACACAATTGGGGTGGTCAGAGCAGGATGGAGAGCCACCTCTGAGAACCTCACTACAATTGGGGTGGTCAGATCAGGATGGAGACACACTACTGAAAACGTCACTACAAAATATGGGGTGGATGGATCTGGATAGAGACACACTACTAACTGAAAACTTCAAAATACATGCGAAATGGTCAGTTCTGAATGAAGATCCACCTTTGAACCTCAAACACAAGGAAGTAGTTAGATCTGAATGAAGAGCCACCTCCTAGATACACAGAACACACAGGGAATAGTCAGTTCTGAATGAAGAGCCACCTTTGAACCTCAATACACAAGGAAGTAGTTAGATCTGAATGAAGAGCCACCTCCTAGAACCGCAGAACACAGGGAAGCGGTTAGATTTGGATGAAGAGACACCTTTGAACCTCAATACACCTGGAAGCAGGGCCGGAGCTGCCACTAGGCAACCGCCTAGGGAGCACTGCCGCCTAGGGGCACAGCCAGGGCCATTGGTTTCCCTACTCTCTGCCATAGCCGGATCTAGGAGGGGTTAAGATTTAAGTTGTGGCCCCCCCCAGGCTAGTCTTTCCATGGACGCTGTGCCTGGCCGCCGAGTGCCCTCCCCCATCCTCGCACAGAGCAGCCTGGAGCAGTGGAGCCTGCAGAGGAGAAATGACAGGAGAGAGCTGGGAGGTGCAGGCTGTGCTCTCCTCTCCTATCAGTGGAGCAATCCTCCATATAGCAGATGACACGGGATCGCTCGTACATCGCCATGTTCAGCGTCTGAGTCATTCCCCGGCTCCCTGCTGCTGAGAGGTGAGAAGTTTTATTGGAGGAGAGAGGGGGCGGAGTAATCAAAACTGTGTACAGCCCCACCCAAGAGCAATACCTGCTATATGGACGATCGCTCAACTGATGCGAGAGCACAGCCTGCGCCTCTACCTGGTTTCCTGCCTGTATGTTTGGGTGTGGGGGGCTTACAGGTTGGGTGTGGGTGGGGGGGGGGGGGGAGTTTGTACCAGGAGTAGGTTTGGGGGGAGGATTTTATGCTGGGAGGAGTAATTTGAAGGGGTTTTAGCTAGAGGAGGGATTTGTGGGAATTCATCCTAGGTGGGGGGATTGAAGGATTAGGATTGGTGCTGGGAGGGGGGGGAATTGGAAGGGGACGTGCTAGAAGGGGGGGCTTAGGTGGATTTGTGCTAAGAGGCAAGATTGGGGGGATTATGCTAGGAGGGGGGATTTGGAAAAGGATTTGTGCTAGGGTGGAAAATTTGAGAGGAAAGAGGATGTGTGTTAGGAGGGGAAGTTTGGGGAAGGGGGGGGGTGCAATTAGCTGGTCTTGCCTAGAGCACAAAATAGTCTAGCACCGGCCCTGCCTGGAAGGGCCGGTGGTCACATCTGGATGAGGGGGTTGGTGGTCACATCTGGATGAGGGGGTTGGTGGTCACATCTGGATGAGGGGGTTGGTGGTCACATCTGGATGAGGGGGTTGGTGGTCACATCTGGATGAGGGGGTTGGTGGTCACATCTGGATGAGGGGGTTGGTGGTCACATCTGGATGAGGGGCACCTCTGACAACCTCAATACCTGGAGAAACGGTCAAATCTGGATGGATAGACACCGCTAAGAACTTCAATATGTGCGAATGTGGACAGATCTGGAGAAACAAATGGAGAACCTCAATACATAGAGAGATGGTCAGATCTGGATGGAGAGCCACCACCTAGAACATCAGAACACAGGCAAGTGGTCACATCAGGATGGAAAGAGACCTCTGAAAACATCAATACGTGTGGACGCGGACAGATATGGAGAGACAAATTGAGAACCTCAGTACATGGAGAAATGGTCAGGTCTGGCTGGAGAGCCACCTCTGAAAAACCTCAATACACTGGGTGGGGTAGTCAGATCTGGGTGGAGAGCTACCTTTGAGAACTTCAATACGTGCAAAAGTGGACAGATCTGGAGAAACAAATTGAGACCCCAATACATGGAGAGATCGTCAGAACTGGATAGGAGAGACACCTCTGAGAACCTCATTACGTGTGGAAGTGCACAGATCTGGTGAGACAAATTAAGAACCGTGATACATGGAAAAGAGGTCGTATCTGGATGGAGAGACATCTCTGAGAACATCAATACATGGAGAAATGGTCAGAGACCTCTGAGAACCTCATTACGTGTGGACATGGACAGATATGGAGAGACAAATTGAGAACCTCAGTACATGAAGAAATGGTCAGGTCTGGCTGAGAAGCCACCTCTGAGAACCTCAATAAACTGGGGGATGGTCTGATCTGGATGTCGAGACACCTCTGAGAACTTCAATATACTGGAGGGTGGTCAGATCTGGATGGAGAGCCACCTCTGAGAACCTCAATACAATGGGGGGGGGGGGGGGGGGGGGGGTCATATCTGGATGGAGAGCTACCTTTGAGAACTTCAATATCATACTTCCCCCAGCTTTTTGAGATTGGAACGAGGGACACCCATTAGCAAAAGTATGTAGGCATAGGACACACCCCCTGACACGCCCCCTTAAAGGAGAATTATACGGAAGACATGATTAGTTGAACCCACAAGTGCTTTTTTTTCCATTAATATTGGCTTCTGACATTTACAAATGCAGCAATTTAGAAATCGGATGAAAGGTTTCGCACCGGGAAACACTTTCTGAAAGATAAAAAGTGTATTTTATATACAACTATCTAGATCCGACCAAAGTGAGGGGCAAATGAGGAGGACAGAGGGACTTTGTTTCAAATCAGGGACAGTCCCTCAAAACGAGGAACAGTTGGGAGCTACACAATATGTGCGACAGAGGACAGATCTACAGAAACAAATTGAGAACTAAATATATGGAGAGATAGTCAGATCTGGATGGAGAGACACCTCTGAGAACCGCATTACCAGTGGAAGTGGACAGATCTGGAGAGATAAACTGAGAACCTCAATACTTGGAAAAGTGGTCAGATCTGGATGGAGAGAGAGACACCTCCTAGAACCTCAGAACACAAGGAAGTGGTCAGATCTGAATGAAGAGACATCTCCGAGAACATCTATACATGGAGAAATGGTCAGATCTGGATGAGTAGACACCTCTAAATCTCAAAACACGGGGAAGTGGTCAGATCTGGATGGAGAGAGACACCTCCTAGAACCTCAGAACACAAGGAAGCGGTCAGATCTGGATGAATAAACATCTCTGAGAACATCAATACACAGAGAAATAGTCATATCTGGATGGGTGGACACCTCTGAATCTCATCCCTGGATGAAGAGACACTTTGGAGAACCTCAATACACCTGGAGGTGGTCAGATCTGGATAGAGAACTACCTACTGGAACCTCAGAGCACAGGGAAATGGTCAAATCTGGCTGAGAGACATCTCAGAGAACAGCAATACACAGAGAACTGGTCATATTTGGATGAAGAGAAATCTCTGAAAACATCAATACATGGAGAAATGGTCAGATCTGGATGGGTAGACACCTCTGAATCTCAAAACATGGGGAAGTGGTCAGATGTGGATGAAGAGACACCTCTGAGAACCTCATTATGTGTGGACGTGGACAGATCTGGAGAGATAAACCGAGAACCTCAATACTTGGAAAAGTGGTCAGATCTGGATGGAGAGACCTAGAACCTCAGAACACAAGGAAGTGTTCAGATCTGGATGAAGAAACATCTCTGAGAACATCTATACATGGAGAAATGGTCAGATCTAGATGAGTCAGATCTAAATGGATGGTCAGATCTGGACACTCTGAGAACATCTATAAGAAATGGTCTCTGGATCCCTGGATGGAGAGACACTTTGGAGAACCTCAATACACTGGGAGGTGGTCAGATCTGGATGGAGAGCCACCTATTGGAACCTCCAAGCACAGGGAAGTGGTCAGATCTGGATGGAGAGCCACCCTGGTGTGAAAATAGCCGCCCAGTTATACCTGTAAAGTAGGAAGACAGGCCTACCAGAAGGGTCCAGTCTGACCAGAGAGCCCCCAAACCATCCTACATACACCCCTATAATATGGTCCCACCATAACCCACAGATGTAACCCCGCAGAGCCCCCACACAGATCCTCACCGAGGACGGTGCACACGGAGTCGCAGTTCTGGGTGATTTCATGCAGCCATCTTTTGACGTTGACGAAGGATTCTGGGTTGGCGACATCATAGACCACAATGACTCCATGAGTGTTTCTGTAATACCTGGGGAGGAAAACATCACCAATCAATGGAGTGACCTCACCAGAGTCCCCCCAATTCTCCAGCCTGCACCCCAATATACAATTCCCCATGTCAGACCCAGATAACCATGGAAACCCTGCAACACCCCACACCCCCACAGTCCCGTCCACCACATGTCCTCCCCTCCCCCACATGACTTACGTTGAAGTGATAGTCCGGAACCTCTCCTGACCCGCCGTGTCCCAGATCTGCAGCTTCACCCGCTCCCCGTCCAGCACCAGAGTCCGGATCTTGAAGTCCACCCCGATCGTAGTGATGTAACTGCCTGAGGGCAACAACAAGGGGGCAGAGACGGGAGGGGAGGAGTCATACATACAAGGAACGTCCAGAGGGGGGGGACCGGGAGGGGCCCCGGGCAGAGGGAGGGAGACACACTGGGAGGGGCCCCGGGCAGGCAGGGAGGGAGGGGATGAGTGAGTCATACATACAAGGAACGTCCAGAGGGAGGGAGACACACCGGGAGGGGCCCCAGGCAGAGGGAGGGAGACACACCGGGAGGGGCCCCGGGCAGAGGGAGGGGAGGGGATGAGTCATACATACAAGGAACGTCCAGAGGGGGGGACCAGGAGGGGACCGGACAGAGGGGGAGAGACAACTGGAGGGGACCCGGACAGAGGGGGGGAGAGAGACACCGGGAGGGGACCCAGGCAGGGAGGGAGGGAGAGAAGCACACCCGGAGGGGACCCGGGCAGAGGGGGAGAGTGAGACACCGGGAGGGGACCCGGGCAGAGGGGGGAGAGTGAGACACCGGGAGGGGACCCGGGCAGAGGGGGAGAGTGAGACAGGGGACCGGGAGGGGACCCGGGGAGGGGACCCGGGCAGAGAGGGGGAGAGTGAGACACCCCGGGAGGGGACCCGGGCAGAGGGGGGGAGAGAGTGAGACACCCGGGAGGGGACCCAGAGGGAGGGGAGACCCGGGAGAGGGTCAAGAGAGGGAGAGAGAGAGAGAGAGAGACACCCGGGAGGGGACCCGGGCAGAGGGAGAGAGAGAGAGAGAGACACCCCGGGAGGGGACCCGGGCAGAGGGGGGAGAGTGAGACACCGGGAGGGGACCCGGGCAGAGGGGGAGAGTGAGACACCGGGAGGGGACCCGGGCAGAGGGGGAGAGTGAGACACCGGGAGGGGACCCGGGCAGAGGGGGAGAGTGAGACGCCGGGAGGGGACCCGGGCAGAGGGGGAGAGTGAGACCCGGGAGGGGACCCGGGCAGAGGGGGAGAGTGAGACACCGGGAGGGGACCCGGGCAGAGGGGGAGAGTGAGACACCGGGAGGGGACCCGGGCAGAGGGGGAGAGTGAGACGCCGGGAGGGGACCCGGGCAGAGGGGGAGAGTGAGACGCCGGGAGGGGACCCGGGCAGAGGGGGAGAGTGAGACGCCGGGAGGGGACCCGGGCAGAGGGGGAGAGTGAGACACCGGGAGAGGGGACCCGGGCAGAGGGGGAGAGTGAGACACCGGGAGGGGACCCGGGCAGAGGGGGAGAGTGAGACCGGGAGGGGACCCGGGCAGCAGGGGGAGAGTGAGACCCGGAGGGGACCCGGGGGAGGGGGAGAGTGAGACACCGGGAGGGGACCCGGGCAGAGGGGGAGAGTGAGACACCGGGAGGGGACCCGGGCAGAGGGGGAGAGTGAGACACCGGGAGGGGACCCGGGCAGAGGGGGAGAGTGAGACACCGGGAGGGGACCCGGGCAGAGGGGGAGAGTGAGACACCGGGAGGGGACCCGGGCAGAGGGGGAGAGTGAGACACCGGGAGGGGACCCGGGCAGAGGGGGAGAGAGGGAGGGGACCCGGGCAGGGAGAGGGACCCGGGAGGGGACAGAGGGGGAGAGTGAGACACCGGGAGGGGACCCGGGCAGAGGGGGAGAGTGAGACACCGGGAGGGGACCCAGGCAGAGGGGAAGGGGAGACACCGGGCAGGGGGAGAGTGAGACCCAGGCAGAGGGGAAGGGGAGAGACCAGGAGGGGACCCGGGCAGAGGGGGAGAGTGAGACACCGGGAGGGGACCCAGGCAGAGGGGAAGGGGAGACCAGGAGGGGAGGGAAGAAGGGAATAATGGGGGTGTTGCTCTCACCGGAGAAGGAATTGTCGGAGAACCTCAGCAGCAGGCTGCTCTTCCCCACACCTGACAGGGAGGAAGAAAGAACCAATCATCATCCAGATCTCAGGACGGAGTATTCTGATTGGATAAAACAAATTCCACACATAACAGAACTCTTTCATTCCCCCCCCCCCCCCCCCCCCATCAGCTTCCTTCAATCAGTGCAGGGACCCCATGTACACAGCGGGGGAGGGGGGGCATATTCATGGTAAACCTTCCACAAAGTTGGAGTTTCCCTTTAAATCTGATTGGAGGCGGAGCTCTGGGCTGCTCAGCCGCCTGACAGGAAATTCCAGAGAGAAGGTGGAAAGGAGTCATGTGACCAGAGAGGAAGTCCCCACTCTGCAGCCGGCCCATGACCCAAAGTGACCTCACTGTCACCATCTGCCTCCGCGGAGGGACGGGGGTCCGCACATGGGAGGGGGGGTCCGCACACGGGAGGGGGGGTCCGTACATGGGGGGGGCCACAACAGCATCACTCTTCGTGCACAGCATTGTGAGATCCAAGTGTAGTGCGCCTGTCAGGGGGTCCCGGAATATGGAGCACAGTCACATCTCCAGGAGGTCAGGGACAGCAAACATGACCTCACACAGTCCGGACCCGCCAAGAATTAGTGACCCCCAAAGGAGGGGTCCAGGAGGGCGGGGCCTACACAAGGGTCCCTAGCTTGGATAAAGGCCCCCCCCCCCCCGGAATATACCCGCTGCACTTACCAGAGTCCCCAATCAGAAGTAGTTTGAACAGATGGTCGTAGTCCTTGGCAGCCATCTTGAATGCATCTGTCGTAGGTTCAGTCAGTCTTCCATCCGATGTCACTGCATCTCCCCCGCATCGCCCTCCGGGAGCTCAGTGCTGCTCCTCCCCCACCGCACCGGTCCTGGACGATCCCAGAGGAGAGGAAGGAAGTCGACGATTCCCAGAGATTCCTGAACAAAGAACCAGAGTGAGACGGCACAGCCGACTTTCCCGGGAAACCCCGGGGGGGGGTTTTTCCCCCACGCCACGGGGGGGGGGGGGGTTTTTTCTCTCCGGGGAAATTGCGGGTTCCCTATTTCCCCCCCCCGGGGGGGTCCTTCCCCCGTACCTAGGGGTTCTCCCCGCCTTTCCCCCCTTTTTCCCCCCCCGCCCCGGGGTTCTTTTCCCCCCCCCGGGGCCCCCTTTTTTCCCCTTTTCCCCCCTGGGGGGGGGTTCCCGCCTCCCCCCCTTTTCCCTTCCCCGTTTTCTCCCCCGGGGGGCTTCCCTTTCCTTCCCGGGGGGTACCCCCCGCGTTTTTCCCCCTTTTTTCCTGGACCCCGCGGGCCCCCCCTTTTTCCCCTACTCAGGCCCCGGGGCGTTTTCACCCCTTTTCCCCCGCGGGGGGCTCCCCACCTTTTACCACCCCCCCCCGGGGTTTCCCCCTATTCCCCCTTTTTCCCCGGGCCCGGTTTCCCTCTTTTCCCTTTCGGGGTATTCTACACCCCCCCTTTCCTCCCTCGGGGATTCCCCCCCCCCCCCTTTCCTTGGACCCCGGGGGGCCCTTTTCCCTCCTGGGGTACCCCGGCCCTTTCCCCCCTTTTCCCCCCTGACCCCCCCGGGGGCCCTTTCCTCCCCTCCCCGGGGCCCCCCACCCCGGCCCCCTTTTCCTCCCCCCGGGGAAACCAGCCCCCTTTTCCCCCCCTGACCCCGCCCCCCCTTTCCCCTCCCACCCCGGCCCCCCCCCCTTCCACCCCCCCCGGGCCCCCCTCCCTGAACCCCCCCGGGGCCCCCCTTTTCCCCCCCGACCCCCCCAAACCCCGCCCCCTTCTCCCCCCTGACCCCCGCCGGGGCCCCCCCCTCCCTCAACCCCCTTTCCCACCCCCCCCAATCCCCCCCCCAAAAACCTCCTCTTCTCCCCCGGGAAACTCCCCCCCCGGTGTTCTCCCAAACAACCCCCATTTTCCTCCTCTTCCCGAGTTTTTCCCCTTTTCCCCCTTTTACTCCCCCGTATTCACTTTTTTTTGGAGGATTTCCCAACAACCAATTTCCTCCCCGGGTTTTTCCCCTTTACCCCTATTCCCCTCCCCAAACCCCGCAGATATTACCACCCATTTCCTCCCTCGGGGTCTCCCCAAAACATTATTTCCTCTCGGGGTCTCCCCCAACTATTTACCCCTATTTCCCCCCCCAGGATTCTCCCCAGATATTCCATTTTTTCCCCTTCCCCCAGGTCTCCCCCAACATTAACCCTTTTTCCTCCCTCAAACCCCCAACATTACACCTTTTCCTCCTTCCTCCCCCAAACAACCACCATTTCCTCCCTCATCTCCCAACACCCTATTTCCCCCCTGGGGGATTTTCCCCCCAACCCATCATTACCCTTCCCCGGGGGATCTCCCTCCATTCCACCACCTCCCCGGAGGATCTCCCCCTTACCACCTTTTTTCCCTCTCCCCCCAGAATTCCCCTTTCCTCCCCGGGGGTCTCCCCAAATACCTCTTTTCCCTTCCCCGGGGGATCTCCCCAAACAACCCAAACCATTTCCCTCTCGTCCCCCCCCACACCCCCACCTATTCCCCTCGTCCCACCCACCCCCCAACCACCTATTCCTTCCCTCTCTCCCCAAACCCAAAACCACCCCCCGGGGGATCTCCCCCAACAAAACCCACTATTTCCTCCGGGGATTCTCCCCCAAACAACCCCCCTATTTCCCCCCCGGGGGGTCTCCCCCACTTTCCACCTAATTTCCCCCCCCGGGGATCTCCCTTTCCATTTTTCCTCCCCGGGGATTCCCCTTTTCCCACCAACTCCCTCTCCCCCAAAGATATTACCAACCTCCCCCGGGGATCCCCAAACTAAAACCCTCTTTCTCCTCAACCCCCCAGACAAATACCCCTTCCCTCTCACAGATATTTCCCTTCCCCTCGGAGGGTCTCCCCAACAATTACCACCTATTTCCCTTCCCTCGGAGGATCTCCCGCAACTATCTACCAACCTATTTCCCTTCCTCGAAGGATCTCCCCCGCAGACTATTACCACCTATTACCCCTTCCCTCAGAGGATCCTCCGCGCTGACTAATACCATCTATTTCCTACCCCTCGGAGGATCTCCCTCCCAGCAGACTAATTACCATCTATTTCTCCTACGAGGATCTCCCCGCAGACCTATTACCACCTTTGCCTCCCTCGGTGGGATCTACCCAGGACTATTAGCCCACCTTATTTCCACCCTCGAGGATCTCCCCGCAGACTATTAACCACCATTTCCTCCCTCAGCATCTCAACGCAACTATTACCACTTTTCCTTTGCCTCCCCGAGAGATCTTCCGCAGACTATTACCACCTATGTCCTCCCTCGAGGATCTCCCTGCAACTAATTTACCACCTATTTCCTCCCTCGGGTGGATCTTTCCCGCAACCACATATACCCCCTCGAAAAAAAAACCCCCGGGGATCTCCCCAACAACCCCAAACCTATTTCCCCCTCTTCTCCCCAGAATTTCCCCTTACCCCCACGGGGATTCCCAAACAACCCCCATTTCCCTTTCCCCCGGAAGGGTCTCCCCCTTACCACCTTTTCCCTTTCCCCTGGAACTCCCGCGGGCTTTCCCCCTTTTTCCTCCCCGGGGTCTCCCCCCTTTCACCATTTCCTCCCTCTGTCTCCCGCGCATTACCCCTTTTTCCCCCCGGGGGATCTCCCCTTTACCACCCCCCCGGGGTTCTCCCCGACTATTCCCCCTTTTCCCTTCCTTTGGGGTTTCCCGCGCTTTTCCCTTTTTTCCCCCCCCCTGGAATCCCCGCGCTTTCTCTTTTCCCCCCCTCAGACCCGCGCTTTCCCCCTTTTCCCCCCCGGGGGTCCCCCCTTTCCATTTTTCCCCCCCGGGGTCTCCCCCGACAAAACCCCTTTTCCTTCCCTGGGGGACTCCCGCGGGCATTTCCACCCTATTTCCTCCCTCGGAGGATCTCCCGCAGACTATTACCACCTATTTCCTCCCTCGGAGGATCTCCCGCAGACTATTACCACCTATTTCCTCCCTCGGAGGATCTCCCGCAGACTATTACCATCTATTTCCTCCCTCGGAGGATCTCCCGCAGACTATTACCACCTATTTCCTCCCTCGGAGGATCTCCCGCAGACTATTTACCATCTATTTCCCGCAGACTCCCTCGGAGGATCTCCCGCAGACTATTACCATCTATTTCCCCCCCCTCGGAGGATCTCCCGCAGACTATTACCATCTATTTCCTCCCTCGGAGGATCTCCCGCAGACTATTACCCCTCGGAGGATCTATTTACCATCCCTCCCTCGGAGGATCTCCCGCAGACTATTACCATCTATTTCCTCCCTCCCGCCCGCAGACTATTACCATCTATTTCCTCCCTCGGAGGATCTCCCGCAGACTATTACCATCTATTTCCTCCCTCGGAGGATATTACCATCTATTTCCCCCGCCCAGGAGGGGAGGGAGGATGTAGATGTGTGCGTGGCCCCGCCCGGAGGGAGGATCTCCCGCAGACTATGTACCATGTATTTCTCCCTCGTGAGGATCCCGCAGACTATTACCATCTATTTGTGACTCCCTCGGAGGGATCCCCAGACTATTACCATCCCTGTGCTGTGTGCTGTGGCCCCCCCCAGGAGGGAGGATGTAGATGTGTGCTGTGGCCCCGCCCAGGAGGGAGGATGTAGATGTGTGCTGTGGCCCCGCCCAGGAGGGAGGATGTAGATGTGTGCTGTGGCCCCGCCCAGGAGGGAGGATGTAGATGTGTGCTGTGGCCCCGCCCAGGAGGGAGGATGTAGATGTGTGCTGTGACCCCGCCCAGGAGGGAGGATGTAGATGTGTGCTGTGGCCCCCGCCCAGGAGGGAGGATGTAGATGTGTGCTGTGGCCCCGCCCTGGAGGGAGGATGTAGATGTGTGCTGTGTCCCCGCCCTGGAGGGAGGATGTAGATGTGTGCTGTGGCCCCGCCCTGGAGGGAGGATGTAGATGTGTGCTGTGACCCCGCCCAGGAGGGAGGATGTAGATGTGTGTTGTGTCACTTGGTGGGAGGGGGATGGTTAGGCACAGAGTGGCTGAAACATGTCAGTGCCGGTCCAGCTGGTGTAATGAAGGTGGAGGACGGGTCCCGGGAATGCAGCTTCCGTCGCCCCCCTCCGGGGTATTGCCCCAAGTCTTCATCTTTCCCTGCTGATTCCCTGCAGCCCCTTCCTGTCTCCATCCACTCCAGTGCTGTCACCAGCAGGAAAGCCACCAATGAGAGAGTGACAACGCAGCAGCACAGCTGGGAGGCACAGCACAGCGTTGTCACCCTATAACAGGAAGTGGCCTGACCATGGCGGGATCCCCGGGGATGAAAGGAGGCTGCAGATCCCAGAGATCAGAAATGACACCCATGAGGCCTGTCATGGTAGAACAGGTTTACCCCCCACCGGGGCTTCTTTGCTGACCCCACTGGGCAGTCACCCCGTTATTCATCCTGAGCAGAGTCACCCCGTTATTTGTCCTGGGCAGAGACACCCCGTTATTTGTCCTGGGCAGAGACACCCCGTTATTCATCCTGGGCAGAGACACCCCGTTATTCATCCTGGGCAGAGACACCCCGTTATTTGTCCTGGGTAGAGTCACCCAGTTATTTGTCCTGGGCAGAGACACCCCGTTATTTGTCCTGGGCAGAGTCACCCCGTTATTTGTCCTGGGCAGAGTCACCCCGTTAATTTGTCCTGGGCAGAGTCACCCCGTTTTTGTCCTGGGCAGAGACACCCCGTTATTTGTCCTGGGCAGAGACACCCCATTATTCATCCTGGGCAGAGG